GCTAGGCCAGTCCTGCTGTAGACCACCTAGGTCATGGTGAGCCTTTCAAAAGCATTCCCATGAGCCTTTGGGAAACATGCAAATTAATTTCCCTTCTGAAGGCAATTAAATGCCCTCTGAGCTCTTTTTCCCTCGCTGCCCTGTCCCTTGAAAGGAAGGGCTAGAAACGGGCTCGGAGCCTCTCCCTCTAAAGATTAATTTAATTAACTGAACTATAACTGCCCCCTTAAAAATTTAAATGCCCCCCCAAACAAAAAAAATCCTGGCTACGGGCCTGGATCCAACCAGCTTTTCCACTAGTGACAGTGGGACAAGGAGACCACTGAAAAAGTGGGACAAAGAGCCACATGAAGTAAGGAAGGGGAATGAGGACAGACGGAGCAGAAAAACTGGTAGGATCCAACGCACAGGCTTCTCCGTAGCCGGGCACCAGCAAAGGTGAGTTCACGCGTGCTCACCACTAAACCAGTGCATCGTCAGACGATGACCGGCACAAGAGAGCAACCTCAGAGCTGACAGAACTTTGATATCTCCCGATGGCATACCGGGCTGGATCCTGCAGGCCCACTGCACCAACTTGGGTGCTTTCCCTTGGGCACGTGGAGCCCTTGCCTGATGGAAGAAACCCGGAAGAGGGAAGGATCCTAGTGCTGGGGGGAACAGATCCACGGGATCCAACCCACCTGGATGAAGACTGTTCAGGTTCACAGCTCGGATTTTCATCGCAAAACAGGTGCGTGCGAGATCGTCCCTTGGAAAGATCGGGGGTCGTTTCGTAGAAAAAGAGCTAGGGGAACTCATTAGCATAACTCATTAGCATATGCCACACCCCCTGACATCACCGAAAGTGTCATAAGGCCACACCCCCTTACATCACCGGAAGTGTGTCATAAGGCCACACACCCCGCCCCCAACGGTCCCGGCCGCCACCGCTGGCCATGCAGCTCCACTGCCGAGTTCAGGCAGGCAGGGGTGGGGAGAGGCGGGGAGGAAGCAACTTACCCTCCCTCTTCTCCTGCCTCCTCCTGGCTGAATGAGGGCCGGAAGCGGGGTGGCCGGAAGCAGGGGGCGGGGCTTCGTCATGTGCCCCGCCCCCCATACCTCACCCAGGGGAACTGCGATCCCCCCTGAAATGACCTCTGGGAAAGACCATCATGACATGCCCACTCTCCTCTCTCTAACACCGCCTTATTCTTACAAAACCCAAGGCTGATTCAGATATTATTTTCCACCCAGGATTGGGCCCTAGGAGAGAGGGGGCATGGGCCATCACCTCTCTACTCGCGCTCTTCTCTCCGAGGGGAGAAGTAACTCACTAGACTGCAAATTTCAAGTCCAGTGGCACCTTTAAGACCAACAAAGCTTTATTCAACACATGAACTTTCATGTGCAAGCACACTTCTTCAGATACAGTGTACGTGCACATGAAAGCTTATACCTAGAATTAAAGATTGTTGGTCTTAAAGGTGCCCCCAGGCTCAAGCTTTGTTCCGCTGCTTCAGAACAACACGGCTACCCACCTGGATCTATCACTAGACCGCAGCGACTGCATTTATTAGGGATATCCCAATTCTGTCGATTAATCCTTCAGAGAGACTTGATTCTTGGCAGGGCCGAGGGAATATCTCCCATTCAAAGAAACAAAAAAATCATCTTTTGGTCATCAGTTTCTCCTTGTATCCAGGAAGCCAGATGAGGGACACGTCCTGATCCTGGCTCCACCCTGGGAAGGAAACGCCACCTAAGGCGATGACTTCATAGCCCGTGAATGAGTTCATGGCAGAGTGACAGATTGAAACAAGAAGCAGAGTCCCAGATCCAGGGGCATACGCTCTTGCAGCAGCCTCTGACTTTGCCAGTTTTTCATTTAAGGCTCTTCAAAACTTGGGGTGCTGTTAAATGCCAAAAGCACTATTGAGCTGGCAACATATCTGGCCTCAGTGGAAGCAAATAGTTTTAGAAGGGCATTTACTCTAACAATATGTTCCGCTCTCCCTTCTGTGGTTACTGAGGGCAGGTATAATAAAATCCCCTGCCCAGAAAGGTTATTATCTTGCTCCCTAGGGGAGGTTGAGCCTGTAGAGCACATGTTTTTTAGCTGCCCACTCTGCAGGGAGGTATGTCTTGGAATTATTTCTCCATGACCTGAGATGATCCCTGGCCATATAAACCCAGCTAAAGCAAGGCTTCACTAGTTTTTATCTGACACTAATTCTAAGATCACATGGCAGGTTGCTAAATTTTGTGTCTTAATTTTCAAGTTACGGGAATTGCACTTTAAAAGCTCTTAATTTTGAATTTTTAAGTACTGTATTTTATGTCTTGACTAAACTGTATGCTGGTCTAAAGACAATAATAAACAACAACTACTACTACTACTACAGCGGGTGCAGAGGAGAGCCACGAGGATGACCGGGGGGCCTGGAGACCAAGCCCTAGGAGGAAAGGCTGAGGGGACTTGGGAATGTTCAGTCTGGAGAAGAGGAGGGGGAGGGGGGACAGAATGGCTCTCTGGAAGCATTTGGAGGGCTGTCGCTTGGAGGAGGGCAGGGCAGGGAGCTGTTCCTGTGGGCAGCAGAGGACGGGACTTGCAAGAATGGGTTTAGAATCAGGGCTATTTTGGGGCAGGAACGCACAGGAACGCAGTTCCGGCTGGCTTCAGAGTTGGCCACACCCACTACAGCCAAAACCTCTGTGTGCGTGCCTACAGAGGGAAGGCCTGGAGAGCGACCCCCCCAGCGACTCTGAGGCGGGAGGGCCATTTAAATGCCTCTCCCAGCCTGTCCAAGGGCTGGCTTGTCCGGGCTTCCCGCAGCCGCGGGGCGCCCAGGCAAGCCAAGGGAAGGCATGTGGTGTGGCCTAATATGTGCTGTCAGGGGTGTGGCCTATTATGCTAATGAGTTCCTGCTGGGCTTCTTCAACAAAAAAAAGCCCTGTTTAAAATTAAGGGCGGGGAGGTACCGCCTGGATATTTGGGAAAACGTTCTACAGTAAAAGTTGTGCGACAGTGGAATCAGCTGCCTAGGGAAGTGGTGAGCTCCCCCTCTCTGGCAGTCTTCAAGCAGCAGCTGGACAAACACTTGTCAGGGATGTTCAATCTCGGCTGATCCTGCCTTGAGCAGGGGGTTGGGCTAGATGGCCCCTGTATGGCCCCTTCCAACTCTGTGATTCTATGACATCTAAGGCTTGGTCTACCTGCTGGAACACAATCAAGGTGCACAGCCAAATGGGGGGGGGGATCTCCAGAGACCTGTTCCATCCCATCTCAGCCTCCTCTTTGATGAGGTCTTCCCCGAGAAGAACAGTTATCAGGGAGTGACCCTCACATATCCCGGCGACCCTGTCCCAATAACCCTCTTTAGGAGCTGACGAGAACAACCCCAGACCCTTTTCTCCTGGCGTTCGTAGCACCAGACGCTGCCACACAAACAGCGAGAAAAGGCTGTGGGGCCGGGCTCTGTGTTTGCACGCCGAGGACGGGGGGGGGGGGCTCTCCAATCTGTCAACTTGGCACCCTTTCCACTAGTCACATCTCAGAGAGATGCTTTGGACTGAGCGCTGTCGGGCTCGGCACCCTCCCATAACTGTCTCCCGGATAAGGTGGTGGTGGAGGAGGAGGAGATGGGATTTATACCCCGCCCTTCACTACCCAAAGGAGTCTCAGAGCGGCTTACAAACTCCTTTCCCTTCCCCTCCCCACAACAGACACCCTGTGAGGTGGGTGGGGCTGAGAGAACTCTGACACAATCTGCTCTTTTTCAAGGACAGCTGTGCCAGAGCTTGTGACTGACCCAAGGTTACATCAGCAGGTGCAAGTGGAGGAGTGGGGGAATCAAACCCGGTTCTCCCAGATTAGAGTCTGCGCACTTAACCACTACACCAAACTGGTCCGCCCGGTCATCATGGAACACATCGATAAGCTATTTAAGTGTCAGTATCTGAATCTGCTTGCTTTTCTCTTCCCTCTTCCGTCCCCTTTTCCTTTTGTGTGGTCGTATACTTTATCGTGGGTGTCATAATCGTCCTGAACTGTGGTATGTCAACAGATCATATAAATTAGTTTGGGGAACACAGTACTGGACTCCTCTTTTTTTGGGGGGCCCTGTCGAGATCCACCTTCCCTCTTGACCCTCTCTGTTACTTTAGCGACGCCCAGGCCGGTAGCCAGGATTTTCTGGCTTGTGGGGCAAACTTTTTTGGAGGGTGGGGCTTGAATTTTACAGTTTTTTAAAAAAATAAATCCAGCTCCCAACAATCTCCTCACCTCACCTCTCCTTGGCTGTAATTTCACTCCCCAGCAGGCAAATACTGTGGACCAGTGTTCCCTCTAAGCTGAGTGTGAGCTAGCTCACAGTTTTTTAGCCTCCGGCTCACACATTTTTGTCTCAGATCAGGGAGGAGGGCTCCAGAGCAAACTAATGTATGCAGCAGCCCAATCGCTCGCTCACAACTTTAATGCCAGCAGCTCACAAAGTAGAATTTTTGATCACAAGACTCCACAGCTTAGAGGGAACGTTGTTGTGGACTCCTTCCCAGCAAGCAAGCCCCTTCCTGAGGCAACCCACACGGGATCATGGCCATGAGAGCGCCTGGGAGACAGTCTCCTTCAGATCAAGGGGCCTGTCTTGTGCTGCCTTGTGGGGCTGTTGCTTTAAGGAAGGGGGCAAAGCCCCAAGTAGCCCCGCCGTAGCTACGGGCCAGGCTCACCGCCAATGGAAGCTCTCCACCCCACTGAAATCTTCCAGTCCCCTCACAAGAGGCAGGGACAGCAATGGCCTACCTCGCCAACCAATCCCCCCCAGTGACTATCCTGACAGGAACCCGCTCTCAGCGTCTCCTCCACACCGTCCAACGCCATCCTCCCAGCTGAACAGACCCTGTCAGGGGCTGCGGTGAAAGGGTCTTGGGAGGGAAACGAGTGTGCAGAGTCACCTGTGGAGGGAAAAGCAGAGGATCAAGCCAGAATGAGAGCGTCTGGGGGGTGGAATGTGTGGATGAGGGAAAGGAGGGAGGGAAGCTGCAGAGGGGAGGGGAGGGGCCCGAGTCTCAGGTGAAAAAGTAGACTGCGGGCCGAAGCAACAAAAGGAAGAAAAAGAGAAAACGAGAGGTTACGAGAAGAGAGATCACTGCTGGGAAGCCCTCCTGCCCTGCCAGGCCTGTCTGTCCATCACTCAGCAGGCCAAACCCCCCAAGCCCCAAGGTCTGCCCATCCCTGCCACCGTAACTCACAGATGCTGCCACTGACTCACAGACGGATGGCACTCTTTATCCAGGCCTTACAACTCAGGGACCTGGCGATCCTAATTCCCCATGGTAAAAAGGTAAAGGTAAAGGTTTCCCTTGCTCGAAAGCCAGTCGAGTCCGCCTCTAGGGTTGCGGTGCTCATCTCCGTTTCAAAGCCGAAGAGCCAGCGCTGTCTGAAGACGTTTCCGTGGTCATGTGCCGGCATGACTAAACACCAAGGTGCACGGAACGCTGTTCCCTTCCTGCCGAAGTGGTACCTATTTATCTACTTGCAATTTCTTGCTTTCGAATTGCTAAGTTGGCAGGAGCTGGAACTAGAGACGGGAGCTCACTCCGTCATGCGGCACACTCGGGTCTTGAACTGCTGAACTACCGACCTTCCACAGCCTGCAGTTCAGCGTCTTAACCACTTGAGCCACCGCAGCCCCACAGTACTTACCTCCAATTGCAATGGCCACGATACTACAGATCAATGCCAAAATAATCATCATCTGGAAAGAGAGAGAGAGAAATGCAGTGCATTAGAGCGTCACGTCTACTACTACAGGCCGCCCACAAAAAGCAACATGCCCAGTACCGTTCTCGGGAACTGTCCGTTGCAAGCTCACCTTCATGTTTTGGCACCAGTATTTCCTCGCCAGGGCGGTCGTGCTGTTTTCAAACACTTTGGAGCTCTCGTGGAGAGCATCTGCTTTGTCATCCAGGACACTGAGCTGTTCATCTCGCTTTATGACTTTCTCCATGTTGTCACACAAGATGCCCACCACCTGAGAGGGGGGGGGAAGAGGAGAGGAAGGAGCCCCCCTCATTAACGGGCAGAGAAACAGGTGCCATTCCGAGGCCGTTCCGAAGAAGCTGGGATATCACGGACTCACTTGGTTCACTTCAGCTTGAGTCTGCTGCACGCGGCGGTTGCTGGTCAGGTTTTCTGGCTGTTGGGGGGGACCTCCAGAAGACTCTCCCCCATCTGGTCCTGCCCCAAGATCAGGTGGCTGTGCTGGCTCAGACCTACAAAGGTCACAAGGCAAGTACAAAAAGAAAGTTTGGGTATCCGTTACCAATAGAGACCCAGTTTGATGTAGTGGTTAAGAGTGGCGGACTCTAATCTGGGAGAACTGGGTTTGATTCCCCTCTCCTCCACATATACCTGCTGGGTGACCTTGAGCAAGCCACAGTTCCCTCAGGAGCTGTTCTCTCAAGAGCAGTTCTCAAGAGAACTCTCTCAGCCCCACTTACGTCACAGGCAATGCTCCCTCTAAGCTGTGGAGTCTTATGAGCAAAAATTCTACTTGGTGAGCTAGTGGCATTAACGTTGTGAGCGAGTGATTTGGCTGCTGCATGAATTAGTTTGCTCCGGAGCCATCCTTCCTGAGCTAAGACAAAAACGTGTGAGCCAGAGGCTACAAAACTGTGGGCTAGCTCGCACTAACTCAGCTTAGAGGGAACACTGCTCACATGGTGTCAGTTGTGGGGAGAGGAAGGGAAAGGAGATTGTAAGCTGCTCTGAGATTCCGAGTGAAGGCCGGGGTATCAATCCAATCTCTTCTTCAATAATCACCCCCACAAGTCACACAGATGCGAGCAACCAAGCAGTCCCCGTTCATAACAACAGTCTGGGACCAGCGTACCTCTGGAACTCCCTCACCTGGTACACCCCTCAAAGAGTGTTACGCTCAAGTAATAAAAACCTGCTGGTGATCCCCGGTCCTGAGAGCGTCCAGCTGTCCTCAACCAGAGACGGGACTTTATTTTTGCCCTGCCTCCAACTTGGTGGAACGCTCTTCATCAGGGCCCTGCAGGACTTAATACAATTCTGCAAGTCTTGTAAAACAGAGTTGTTCCGCCAGGCATACAGCTGAGGAGAGCAGCGGCTATTTCCGTCAGGATTTGGCCTCCTCTCTCCCTCCTGCTCCCCTCCCCCCCTCCTTCTTATCAGGCAGTTTTAGTTCTTTAGATATTTACTCCCTCTTGAGAGTTTACGTCACCAATTGATTTTTGATTATATCTGATTGCATTTTATTGTATCTATTACACTTAAATTACGAATGTTTTAAACTGTATTTTATGCAGGGGTCATTTCATAGAGAAAGAAGTGCAGGAGCTCATTAGCATAACTCATTACCATAACTTATTTGCATATGCCACACACCCTGACATCACCGGAAGTGTGTCAGACAGCAACACCCACCGCTCAGGCTCCACTGGACTGTTTTGGATTGCTAGCTATTGGGGGGGGGGGGAACATGCAGATCTGTCCACGCTGTCAGGTTCCACAGCCAACAACTGAGTACACGCTTTCTGGAAAGGTTATACTTTATTGAAGAGCTATAGATGCATTAACAAAGGCACTGTTAAGAATGGCGTCACTTCTACAAGCATAATGGGATATAGGGTATTTGTATGCATCCCCCCTTCCTTAGGCCAATTAGCCACATTCCCACGCACGGGAGAAGGAGCCCCAGGTCGTTAGAGCCGAAGCTGAGAACCGAAAGCGCTCCCACGGTTCCCTAGAATCCCAGACACAACACCCACCTGCAAAGCCATAGATAAGCGAGCATTACAGAAGCTGAAAAGGAATGCAGCAGTACTGGCAAGCAAGCACCCCACCCCCAACTCAGCTTGTACCTGAATAAAAGCCGGTCTTAAAGGTGCCACTGGGCTGTTTTGGGCTGGGTGGCCGGGGGGGGGGGCTCTGCAACTTACCTGGCTGCTTCTTGCTCCTTGTAGCCTGACTGAGGGCTGCTGGGAGCAGGGGGTGGGGCTTGTTGCATGTGCCCGCCCCCTGGCCTCCTTACTGCTGGAGCTCCGCTCCTGTGCGCTCCCATAGGAAATGACCCCTGATTTTATGTATCTCAGATGTTGTCACCCGCCCTGAGCCCAGAGGGCGGGCTATAAGACGTCTAACGTAATAATAAATAAATGAATGTCCCTGGGCGTTTCGATCATTCCGCATGGCTTTCTTATGAACTTACTGCCCAATCTTAGGCTAGCCTGACCTTCTCTGATCTTGGAAGCCAATCGGGGTTGGCCCTTGGCTGCTATTTGGATGGGGGACCACCAGGGCTGTGACGCAGAGGCAGGCAACGGCAAACCGCCCCCGAACACCTCTTGCCTTGACAACCCTGCGAGTTTGCCCTAAGTCGGCTGTGACTTGGTGGCAACAACAACACAGCCTTGGTTCAAAATCAGTTTGAAAGGAGAAAATAAAAGGGACACATCATTCCCTAAGAGATTTTTAAAAAGATAATAAGGCCAAGGCCACTGATACAAGTTAAGTAAAGTGTGTGTAAATTACTACTCAGCTGAAACTTCCCTGCACGTTTCGCCAACGAGCTTCTTCAGGGGAATCCATAATATAATTTGTTGTTCAGTCGCACAGTCGAGTCCGACTCTTCGCAACCCCATGGACCAGATCACGCCAGGCCCTCCTGTCTTCCGCCATCCTCTGAAGTTGGCTCAACTTCATGTTCGTTGCATCGATGACACTGTCTAACCATCTCACCCTTTGCCGTCCCCGTCTTCTTTGACCTTCGATCTTTCCCAGCATCAGGGTCTTCTCCAGTGAGTGCTCCCTTCTCATTTGGTGGCCAAAGTATTTGAGCTTCAGTTTCAGTTCTAAGCCTACCGCTCATTAATTTCATTGAGTGCCTGTAAGTTCTTCTACTGTGAAAAAGTGAGAAAAGTACTTCTTTCTCTTCCTTCTCTATCCCATGCATAATTTTATAAACTCCTATCATGTCACCTCTCAGTCGTCATTTCTCCAAGCTCAAGAGCCCTAAGCGCTTTAACCTTTCTTCATACAGAAGGTATTCCATCCCCTTAATCATTTGAGTTGCCCTTTCTGGCATTTTTTCTAATGCTATCTCTTTTTTGAGGTGCAGTGACCAGAACTGTACACAATATTCCAAATAAGGCCACACCATACATTTATAAATGGGCATTATAATACTGGCTGATTTGTTCTGAATCCCGTTCCTAATCATCTCCGGCACAGCATTTGTCTTTTTTTTTTTATCACACGTGTGTTTTTTTTAATCTCAGACACATTTTCAGTGAGTTATCAACCACGACTCCTAATTAGTCCTAATTGGTGATTTTAAATTTTGGGGGGTTTTATGTATTTTATGTATTCTATCTACATCGTAAGCCCCCTTGAGTTTTATAATGTGGCTAATAAACATTATAAATAAATAAGTAAACTCCAGAAGATCTGCCTTGATTCGCAGGAAGATTTGATTTATAAAGTCAATAAAACAGTTTCTTGCAGTAATAAAATGTGCCAAAGCAAAATCAGTGTTTGTGGTGGCAGAAGTCGCCGTGTTTCACAACCCCCTCAGAGTTTATTTCAAACATCTGTCATTAATCATCACTAGCATTTTTGATATTGGGGGGTGTCTCTTTATACCCCTAGTACAGTGATAGCGAACCTTTTAGAGACCAAGTGCACAGACTGTGACCCAAAACCCACTTATTTATCGCAAAGTGCCAACACGGCCATTTAACCTGAATACTGAGGTTTGACTTTAGAAAAAACAACTCATACATTAACTTAAGATGATCCAAACAAAGTAAGGAAAGCAATCCCAAATGCTTTCATTTACTTAAAATTATTTGGCAGAGAATTCAACACTTTAATGATGGTCTGGGCCTGGCTGGGGCGATGGCACGCGTGCCCACGGAGAGGGCTCTGAGTGCCACCTCTGGCACCCGTGCCATAGGTTCGCCACCACTGCCCTAGTATATCTCTGTCTGGGGTGAGAGAAATGGTGTCCATCAAAGCTTTTAATGACGATGAGATTTCACTGCAGTACTTCCCTGGATCAGGGTTCGTCAGCAAATACGAACAGGTCCTTTCTCATCCCACCGTCTGAGACGGAAAAAAAACTATCCCAGTTGCAAAAAGCCCTGATTTGGATAAGCTAGGCCAGCCTGGTCTCAGAAGCTAAGCAGGGTCGGCCCTGGTTAGTATTTGGGTGGGAGACCACCAAGGAAGTCCAGGATAGCTACACAGAGGCAGGCACTGGCAAACCACCTCTCAGTGTGCTTTTGCCTTGAAACTCCCACAGGGTTGCAATAAATCAGCTGGGATTTGACGGCAACAGCACGCAGAAATATCTCAGATTTTCTTCTCCCCTGGGTCTGCTTTCCGGCTACAGAGAGGGGAAATAACCTACTGACCCCCACTTTGGCGCTATTGTTTTTTGACCACGTTTTTGAGCCTGATGACTCCTGACCCAGAGATTTTGCTTAGAAGGGGGGAGGGCTCCCTCTCACTTTCGATCCTGCACTGAAACAGTGGGAACCACCCGGCCAGTAGTTATACACCACTTTTAAGCCTCAAGGGCTGCATGCATACTTTTTAAAAATTACAGAAATTGTACCCCGATTCCCCATCCACAGGGGTTAATACAGCTGGGGGGGGGGGCTCCTTTCCAGTGTAACAAAAGCAAGGGAGGGAAAAACCTCCCCCCACGCACAACATTCTCCCCCTTGATAAAGCAATCCTGGAGTCCCAGTTTGCAAAAAAAAAAAGTGCTTCAAAGTAATTTTTGGCCTCCCAGGGAAAGAAGCTGGCTGGATCCTAGCAACAGGCTGCACCTCTGGCTTGGCCCCCAACTAGCCACTTTCCCTGCTGCTGAAGGCTGGGACCCAGCCAGGACCCTGGGGGTGCATCTCCGCCTGCCCCACTGTGCCACCCTATGGTGGCTGAACCTCAGTGGGCTTTGGCCATAGGGTTGACAACTTTCCAGCTGCGGGGAAATCCCTGGGGATTTGGGGGTGGAGCCTTGGGGAGCGTGGGGTTTAGGGATGGGAGGAAGCTCAGTCGGGGATATGATGCCATAGAGGGCACCCTCCAAAACAGCCATTTTTCTCCAGGGGGACTGTTCTCCGGAGACCAGCTGTCATTCCGGGAGATCTCCGGGTCTCATCTGGAGGCTGGCAACCCTGGCCGGTCAACACCTTCTCCAGCTGCCATCCGAAGGGCACCTTACTTCGGAGGAGATCCCTGCTTGGGATCGGGCCCTGGGAGACCCTGCCGCCTCCTTGCCCCCGCGTCACAGGCGCCCGGCTGGATCCTGCTCCGCCCAAGGCGCGGCCACCGCCCCGGGTCCACCGCCTCGAGATCGGGAGGGAAGAAGGGAGGCTGGGAAGGGCGGTGGCTGGAGGCGCCGCCAGGGGGTTGCTCCTCCTCGCATACAGCCTGCGAGGGAGAAAGCGAGAGGCGCAAACCGACTTCTGGCGCCGACCGCGGACGACCAGGCGAGGGGACCCTCCAAATACGTTGCGTGTTCGAGCGCCCCCCCCCCCAAAAAAACCCGGAGGTTCCGGATTCAGCCCAAACCTCCCTTCAGCCGGCGAGCTCTGCGGCTGTCGCAAAGCCCAGGACTCCTTGCATGACGCTAGACCTCATGGCGCATTCTTCGCAGAGCCAGGCACGTCTAGGGCGCTTCCCGAAGCGCTTAGCTCTCTTTGGCTGCGGCCGCGCACCCTGAATAATCCACGCTCCGTGCACTTTTCAACTCGAGTTCCCTGCGTGAACGGGCAAAATCCCGTTGGAAAGTGCACTGAATGTGGATTATTTACTATGCGGGAGTGACCGCAGCCTTTGAGAAAGCCGCCGCCCCAAAACGGCGCCCCTCTGAGTGAGGCAGGCCACAGAGCGGAGAAACGCCCCGGAACCTGGACTCAGACTAGCCGATTTAGCTGGCCATCCATCCCTCCCTCCCGGGAATTCCAGATAGCCAACACGATCCTCCCTTACTCCTCTGTGTCACGCCAACCCTGTGAGGTAGGGTCGGTTGGAGAAAATGTGACTCTGGCCCAGGACGCCCCGATGAATTCCGTAGCAAGAAATCTGAACCTGGGTCTCCTCGGTCCTCCTGAATCACACCGCGCGCACACACCCCGCTCCTCCCAAGCCTCTCCCTCCATTTTGTCTCCTAACAACCCTGTGAGGTAGGTTAGGGGGAGAACTATCGGCCCGAGGATGAAATAGTCCGCAGCTTTCCTCTTCCACGATCCGGGGTTGCCTGGCTGCGTGGAGAGACTAAGCTTTCCCCCTCCCCATAAAACTAGCCCCCAGCAGCAATTTATTGCACCCTCCCCCCCCCCCCTCGCCCCCTCTCCCCCACTTTTCACCCTTTCTGATGCAACAGGTGAACCCCCGGTGCAAAAATGTAGAGGAAGCTCTCGGATCTGGGAGGTTCGGGCAGATACTAAAGCTGGGTGGGAGATGCCAGGCGGACGGTGGACCGGCCAGGGAAGAAACTGTTGCCACGCATCACTCAGGAGGGGAGTCGGACCCCCCTGTACTCACATGGCTGCCCCCGCCTCAGTCCCTGGAGATGGCTCGGCTTCCCCCCAAAGCCTTTCCTCGCGGGCTCCTGGAACTTGCCTTAGACGAACACCTTCCCGAGGGGGAACCAAGCCACAGAGGGGACAGTGTGCTGTCGCCACACCCACACGAGCCGGCGATGGCGTCACCCCCAGCCCTTCCAGCCGCCGCCCTCCCGGACCTGTGCCAAGTGACTCACTCACTCCTCAGCAGAGAGGACAGGAGTCTGGCTTCGGCCTGCCTTTCATCTTCCCCCTTTTCTGCTGTGCCCAGCGATCAGCTAACTGGCCAGGACACTGCGGCTCTTTCTTTCAGCTTCATTGTCACACATAAGGCAGCAAAAGGACTTGGGGGGGGGGGGGAGTGCCGGCCTGTACTCACCAATTTGGAAATCTAACCGGAGAGATTCCAGTCCAGTAGCACCTTGGGGACCAGAGATTTTCATGGTATATGCTTTCGAGAGTTAAAGGTTTATGGGCCAGGTACCTTTGAGGCTTGAAAGCTTACACAGTTGGAAAATCCTGTTGGTCTCGAAAGCGCTACTGGACTCAAATCAAACTGTTCCATTGCTGACCAGCACAGCTCCCTCTGAAACTAATTAATTAAAATAATTATCCTATGGCATTGTGTGTAGAACGGCCAGGGGAGCCTAAAATTGTCTGGCAGCCACAAGTTCTGGCTTTTAGTGTTATGCTAATGGTGAGCTAGACTTGTTTTTAGGGGCTGACAGAGCTCTGAAAGCACTGTGACTGGCCCAAGGTCATCCAGCTGGCTTCATGTGGAAGAGTGGGGAATCATAGAATGCTAGAGTTGGAAGGGACCTTGCAAGTCATCTAGTCCAACCCCCAGCACTCTGCAGGAGCATAGCTGAAAGATAGCCCTACAACATACTCGAAAGATGGTCATCCAGCCACAGTTTGAAAACGTCCCGCGAAGGAGCATCCACCACCTCCCAAGGCAGTCTGTTCCGCTGCTCAACCACTCTTACAATTAGGAAGTTTCTCCTGATATTTAGCCGGTATCGACTCTCTTGTAATTTCCACCCATTAGATCTAGTCTTGCAATCCGGAGCAAGATAGATCTGCTCCATCTTCTACATGAGAGCCCTTCAAATATTTGAAGACTGCAATCGTGTCCCCTCTAAGCCTTCTCTTTCCCAGGCTAAACATACCCAACTCTTTGAGCCTTTCGTCATAAGACTTGAATTCCAACCCTCTCACTATCCTGGTTGCCCTCTTCTGGACATGCAAAAGCTTGTCCGCATCCTTCCTAAAATGTGGTGTCCAAAACTGGACACAGTACTCCAGGTGAGGCCTGACCGTAGCAGAATAGAGTGGAACTACCACCTCTGGACACGATGCTTCTGTTAATGCACCCTAAGATTGCATTAGCTTTCTTCGCAGCCACATCGCACTGCAGGCTCATGTTTAGCTTGAATCGAACCTGGTTCTCCAGATTACAGTGCACCGCTCTTAACCACTACACCAAACTGGCTCGTCCTCTGAAACTACCTTAACCTGATGGCTCTGAGTCAATGGATCTCAGAATACATTATTTACTCAAATGCAAAACTACGGCTTTTTCCCCAAGTATGTCATCAAAGGGGGGAGGGAATCTTTGACATCACCTGCTGCCTGGTCCTTTCAACTGGAGATACTGGGAATGGAACCAGGGACCTTCTGCGTGCAAAGCAGGCGCTCTTCCACTGAGCCACAGCCCCTTCTCGAAAGCAGCCGCCGTCTCTGCCCACTGTTGGAAACAGGATGCTGGACTGGATGGACATTTGGTCTGGCAGGTCTCTTCTTTGATTCCCCCAACTATAAAAATGCAGGAGTGGCTGTGGTAGATCAGGCCAGAGCCTTTACAACAGAGGCCCACCAGATGCCCCTGAGAAGCCCACAAATAGGATCTGCAAACAGTCGTTTCTGACCATTAGAGGCACTCGGAATGTGGGTTTAGCATACAGTTAATAGCCCCCACAATATGTTTCTCTTCCATCATTCCTGTCCAACCTCCTTTTAAATCCATCTAACTCCTTGAGCAAGGCTGCCAGTAATGCACTCTGGAGGTCATTAATTCAGGGGGTTAACATTAAGTCAGAAGCAACTCGATGGCACATCACACACGCAACTCCGTGGGCATCAGACGACATCTCATGGCAGGAAGTTCCACAGATCACCTGCTGGGTGGAGAAGAACTTTTGTCCATTTCAAATTTGCTGCCTATTGGCTTCGGAGGGTGATCCTGAGTTCTAGTATCATGAGAAAGGCAGAAACGTGTGTTTTCTCTGTACCATATATAGTTTTGTGCCCCCTTTTCTGTCAGCCCTTAGCAGCCTTCAAGCCATTCCAACCCCATTACCGTTTTGGTTGTCCTTCCTCCAGCTCTCACCTCTGCAGCACAGCTTGTGCTGGCAAAAGCTAGCCAGCACCCTGCGCTCATCAGGGCACACCAGCCATTTAACTTATCAGAAAAGGTGCCTGCGGGCCCCTGCACTGGACAACTGCAGATGGCCAGGAGCGAGCAGGGGCAAGTCCGTTTTTCTGCCTGTGCTTATGGGGCCACACAGCTCAGACCTGGACAGGAGCCCAAACCACAGGGCAGGTCCATAGCTACGGCGGGGCATTTGGGGGCTCTGCCCCCTCAACTGTGAGGCACGCCCCACAACAGCTGCTGGCCCTCTCCCCTCCTGACATTAAAAGGGCCCTCCAATTGATCGGCGGGAGCATGTGGCCCACGGATCAGCTGGAGAGCCCTTTAAACCACTCCACTCCCTCCCCCAAGGGGACGTGCCAGTCTCAACGGTGTTTTCGCTCATGTTCTTTCATATTTACCTGAGATCTTTGCATGAGATCCCCTGAAACTTTGGAGTCAGCTCTTGTCAGTAGGCTCATAACACTCGGAACTGTAGTTCTGTGAGGCTCCAGATGCTTAATAGAGTGAAGAAGCCAAAACTGAATCCAGATTAAGAAGAGGCAATGCTGGCTGGGAAAGCAGATGTTCTGGAGGTGGTAGATCCACAACTTGGAGAAGGTCAAATCCCATTTGGGGAGAATTCCAGGACCTTCAAATGTCTCAGAGCTGTTAGGATTGCCTTCTATCCATACCTCAAGTTTGCTGACTTGGCCATACTGATCCCTGCCTCTGTAACCTCCAGACTTGAACTACTGTAATGCACTCTGCGTGGAGCTCTCCTTGGAGGCCATGCAGAAACTTCTAACTTGCATGTAATACATCAACATGCTTTCTGACAGATATTAGGTGTCTAATTCGAAAGACCCCAATTTTACAACAGTTGCACTGGCTGTCCAGTTTTTCGAAGGCTCATTTCAAGGTGTTGCTCTTGACCTTTAAAGTTCTTCATGATTCAAGGCCCTCATACTTAAATGACCACCCAGAACAGGGTACTTAGCTTCGGCAAGCACACCAGCTTTCTCATGGGTAGCCTCCATCCTATGAACTGGTCTATGGGAGACACATAAAACAGACTTGGCTTTAGGGGCATCTGGCAGTCCCTTTGACAAGTCAGGATCTACGGAGGGCACTTGGTAAGTGCCACTTGTTCTGGCAAGTGCTGGTCTCTTTATTTGTTTTCCAGCTGCCAAGTTCAAACTGCAGTTGTCTGGGTTGAAGTTCTAGAGGTCAGGTCCAATGTTCCCTCTAATTCCCCCCCCCCCACTGAGCGGAGCAGTTCACATCCTGAGGAGCACATAACAGCTGTAATCTTAAAATGTTAATTTTAAAAAGGTTACACAGTGCAAAAATATGTAATAAATATTGTATCATTATAAAGGCTATAAAGTGTGCTTTATCCCAAATATAATAGTAAGTATAAATAAGACAAGGGAGCAGGAAGTTACGGAATTTATACTAGAGATTTACGAAAAGAAATATGACAAAGATCAAAAATATGATGTTGGCCACCTTAGAGGGGGGAGGGAAAAATAGGGGTAAAAGAAGTATCAAAAATTTGTGGAATTAAATTGTAATGTAATAACAATATTGTGATACAATAGAAACACATAAAAAGTAAGTATAAATAAGATATAATACATATAGAACTATGTTTAAGTCAAAAGTCAATCTCAAAGATGTCCATTCCGAACACTTGAAAAATCTGACAGAGGAAAACTTTCCAAAAAAATTATCCTGCAGTGTAAGAAAGTTCACTTCCTCCCAACCTCATTAGGGTGATGAAGCTTGTAGCAAGTAAGGATCCACACCAATGCTCCTTCTAAGCTGTGGATTCCTGTGAGCAAAAATTCTACTTTCTGAGCTACTGGTATTAAAGTTGTGAGCAGGTGATTTGGCAACTGCATAAATTAGTTTGCTCTGGAGCCATCCTCCCTGAGCTAAGACAAAAACTGTGTGAGCCAGAGGCTAAAAAACTGTGAGCTAGCTCACACTAACTCAGCTTAGAGGGAACACTCCACACCTAGCGACACTTTTGATTTAAATGTAGTTCTATAATGTATTATATATTATTTATACTTACTATTATATTTGGGATAAAGCACACTTATATGAGTTTATTTCATATTTTTGCACAGTGTAACCTTAAGTTCACTATTCATAGCTGTGTCCCCTGTTTACATAGTAATTTTAAAATGGGCAACGGGTGGTGCAAGACCCTGCGTGGCTCCAGACCGCTGCTGAGCGGGGCTTCCTGTGTTAATGAGCAGCCACTCACGTACACAGCTAAGAGGGAACACTGTCTGCTTCTGGCCTGTGTACTGCTCTGAGAAGTTGCCTCAAGCACCATTAGAAGTAGGGTAGCTTTTAACTTCCAACAGAGGACTTAAAGTGCTACATGTGTGTCCACAGCCGGGGCAGATATTTAATTTTCTCCATGTTTAAAATGTATGTTTCCCAAAGTGACACAGGACCAATTCAAGGAAGGTAATGGCTTTCTGCTAGCTACCTAAGACACTTCTGTACCACCCCTCAATCAAGGAGCTGCACAGAAAGCATAGGTGAAACAAGCTGGAGCCTAGCATGCACAGAAAAAGCTCGAGCCAAGACGGTTCTGGAGTGAAGAAACTGTTGACCCTCTTCTGCACACACCAACCCTGCAAGGTAGGTAGGATCAGCTGAGACTGGCCCAAGGCAACCCAGTGAGTTTTATGGTAGTGAGTTTTATGGTAGAGCAGAGATACTGTGGTAGGGTGCAGGATAATGGCCATGTTTCCCAGATCACCTCTTCTCCCATAACCCATGGCACAGTGCAGTCACTTGTAGCACAACACTCCACTGTCAGAGCTTTAGGAAAGTAGTATTTTTTGATGCCAAAGCAGCATAACACCCAGGGACACTGTACAAAAACAAGGATCCTGGGCATGATTTCATCCAGTTGGTGGCTTCTGCACTGGGAACAGAATATGCAATGCAATAGGAAAGGAAGCACCCCCTGCGTGACCAAGATGCAATAAAAGATGGGAATCAAGACCCTCCCCATTCTGCAGAAGAAGCCAGTCTGAAAACTGCTATATTTGTACATTTCATATAACAACATTCACAAATGGCATTTTAGGGCAGTAGGTGGGCTACGCAGGAGTACACTGGCGGAAGAAACAGAAGTCGATGGACAGTGAGGAATGTCACCAGGAAACTCACAGGTTAAAATAACTGGAATACTTTCACAGATCCATCACTCCTTGTGGGGCATTCTTAGCGGTGCTTCCCGGTTCGGTTCAAGCGTCTGTACAAAAACCTTATCCGTTTGTTCAGGTTCTTATAATCCTCTACGAACATCCGGTCACCCACGATTTTCTTCTTACGGATGCATCTCTGCAGTTCATTACCCCGCCAGCCACGTAACCATACAGGGCCTCTGATCAGGTCCTTGGGGTGAGCCTGGAAGTTTCCTAAGAGGAAGGGGGGGGGGAGGTCATCAGGCAGAGGGGAGAAAGGTTAGTTTTGGAGTCCATCACTTTCACCAGGGTCTACAACTGGTAAACAAATGTGCTGTTGATTCAACTCCTTTCTTTCTTTGCCCAGTTAGGGGTAACGGTCAGAGTGCTGGATTCGGATCTGGGAGACCCAGGTTCAGATCCTCACTCTGCCACAGCAGCTGACTGGGATGTCATACGGAGGATGGTGTGGAGTTGTTTTCTGTTGCCCCAGAAGGTCGGACCAGAACCAACAGGTTGAAATTAAATCAAGAGTTTTCGGCTAAACATTAGGAAGAACTTTCTGACAGTAAAAAAAAAGGTTCCTCAGTGGAACAGGCTTCCTCGGGAGGTGGTGGGCTCTCCTTCTCTGGAGGTTTACAAACAGAGTCTAGATGGGCCATATGACAGCAATGCTGATTCTGTGAACTTAGGCATGTCATGAGAGGGAGGCTGCAGGAAAGGTTGCGTCAGTGCTTAGTTCTCGTGACCCTTTCTTACACGCCCAGGGAAATGCTGATCACCACTTGGGGTCAGGAAGCAATTTTTCTCCAGGCCAGTTTGCCTGGGGATCTTGTAGGGGTTTGTTGTCATTTTCTGGGTGTGGAACAGGGATCACTGGTGTGGGGGGGAGGTATTTGTGAATTTCCTGCATTGTGCAGGGGGTTGGACTAGATGACCTTGGAGGTACCTTCCGACTCTATGACTCTATGACCCTGGGCCAGTTACACAATCTCAGTCTAACCCATCCCCACGAGGTGGTTGTTGTGGGAATAAAATGGAAGACAGGAGCACGGCATGTGCTGCTTTGGGTCTACACTGAGGAGAAAGGCAGGACAGGAATTAAATAAATAAATATGATAGCAGCTGATGCAGAATGTTCCCTTCAAGCCACCCTTACCATCCCTCAGGAGCACAACACCTAGTACAGTGTTTAAAGTGTCAGACTAGTTGACTTTAAAAATGCCAGTGCCATCGCATCAAACTTATTGATACAAGCAGAAACGGTGAAAACGGCAGAGAAGACAACACTGACGTGTTCAGGTACCCTGCTGCTTTTGAGTTCACTTAATTCCAGAAAAGATAGTATGGTGGAACCGACAGAGCGCTGGACTAGGCCCGGAAAGTGGTGGTGCAACGTGCCATCAAGTCACAGCCGCCCGATAGCAACCCTGTCGGGTTTTCAAGGCAAGAGACAAAACAGAAGTGGTTTGCCATTGCCTGCCTCTGTGTAGTGATCCTGGCCTTCCTTGGTGCGCTCCCCCAAGAGCTAACCAGGGCTGACCCTGCTTAGCTTCCAAGATCTGACGAGAAGACACAAGATCAAATCCTGCTTGCCAAAAAAAAAAAAAAAATCCATACTGGGTAACCTTGGACCGATCACTCTCCCCCAGCCTGACCTATCTCACAGGGATGTTGTGAGATTAAACTGGAGTCTATCACCCTGAGCTCCGTGGAGGAAGGACAGGATAAAAATGTAATAAATAAAATCTAGCTCGTCCAAATTAAACTGTCACTATCATCACCCACAACCTGCACGCCCAGCCTTCAGAATAACACCTCACTGTAGCACTATTTTAATGGGACCAGTGAAAACGTTTCCAGTTTACTGCACAAAAGCTTTAACCTGCTGATCCCGTTTACTGCCAAAAGCATAATTTCTTTCATCCATTGAAATTCTTTGTCTTTCTTATACTTACCCAAAATTCCAATGTTGTCATAGACCCCAAACAGGGCTCGTTTTTCTGTCCATCGATCAACTGGTTTGGGCTTGGGAGGCTCCTTCACGCGGAATGGGTACGGATTACCTGGGGGAAAGGGAAAAGCGAGAATTAGAAAATGATTGATTGGAAAACTCCACATCTGAGGGCCTTTCCTCTTGCATTCAGAGGGAAGGAACTTCATAATCCAAAAGCCCTTATCTAAGAACTAGTGCCCTGTCAACAAGAGAGTCAAAAGCGGGCCTCAGAGGTTGGTGACGGTGCGCCCAAGGCGCCGGGAAGGACTTGGGGAGCCGCTGCCAGTCTGTGCAGACAAGGCTGCCCTTTGCAGCCGCCCGGCCACCCTCTCCCGCCGACACGCCACCCCTCCACCCACCTCGTTCTCCGCCTCCTGGGCCCCCTCGGCACCGGGCATCACAGGGAAGGGAAGAGAGCAGCGTGAGTGGCTGCCGGGGCCTGCTGACCGGCCATCGGGGGAGGATCCAGACACACAGAGTTCCCCAAGCTGCCCGGGCGCCCTCCCCCGCTGACGCGCCACCCCTTCGCCTGCCTCGCTCTTTGCCTCGCCCCCGCGTGCTGGGCACCACAGGGAAGGGAAGGGAAGAGAGTGGCGTGCATGGCTCTCCAGGCCTGTTGACCAGCCATCAGGGGAGGAGGATCCAGTCGAGTTCCACTGGAAAGCAGAGCGGAGGAGAAGCCCAGCGCCACTCGGGGAGCACGCCTGCCCCCCCAGCCTCTCCAGACCCAGGTAAGAACAGTCCCAGCAGCTCCCCACGCGGCGCGCGTGGCTCCCCAGGCCTGCTGACCGGCCGTCAGAGGAGGCTGTCAGGGGAGGAGGATCCAGTCGCGCCAACAGCAGAGGCACTGAACCCCCAGGCCAAGAGCCCGCCACTAGCTACAGCAGATCGGGGACTTTCTTCTCTCCAGGCCCCGCCTAGAGGTTGGCAACCCCGTAATTGGGCACACGGGGGGGGCGCCAGAAGGTAGCCCCGCCTAGGGCACAAAAAAACCTCAGGCTGGCCCTGGGTACAACAGGGAGCATCATCTTCACATAACAGCGTTATCTCTTTGATGCATTTATATACTGACTATGCCAACAAATAAAACAATGGCACATAGATTGGAAACGGTTGATTTACATTTCAATTCTGAAAAAGGAGAGCAAAGATTGCAGCAACTATAGAACTGTTGCATTAATTTCTCACACAAGTAAAGTGATATTCAAAATCCTACAACAAAGACTGTTACCATACATGGAACAAAAAATGCCAGATGTTCAGGCTGGATACAGAAAAGGAAGAGGCTCTAGAGATTATATTGCAAATTTATGTTGGTTACTGCAACATATGAGAGAATTTCAAAAGAAAATCTGCATGTGTTTCATACAGCAAAGCTTTTGATTGGATAGATCATGAAAAGCTATGGTTTAAAAGAAATGGGTATGCCACAACATCTGATTGTTTTGATGCACAACCTGTACTCCAGACAAGAGATTACTGTTAGGACAGAATATGGCGAAACAGAATGTTTTCCAATTGGCAAAGGATTCAGACAAGGATGTATTTTATCTCCCTATCTCTTCAATCTATAAGTAGAATGTATCATAAGTTAAGGTGGAGTTGTCAGACTCCTGCAACAATCAGAATCAACAACTTGCTTCTTTAGAAGAGAAGTTTATTGATCAGTATTGGCAGAACGTCAGGATCTGTGTTAAGACTAACAGGGAAAGTGCGGGGTTCAAAGGAGGGCACAAGGCGGCAGGGAGCCAATCAAGCTAAGAAGCGGGGCCCGCCAGACCACTGGTTCCCAGAGGATGTTACAGCTAGGCACCAAGGAACCAAGGTCATACACATAAACCATACAGATAAGGGAGCATCACCCAGACACTACATTCCAAAGAAACCCTTCCCCCTCCACATCAGTCTTCATGGCAGCGAGCTGAAAGGAGTAGATTTAGATGAAGGTAGAGTGAAAATTGGTGAAAACATTAACCATTTCAGATGTGCAGATGACACCACATTAGTAGTTGTGGAAAGTACCGTCATGTCACACCTGACTTATTGCAACCCAGTAGGATTTTCAAGACAAAAGACATTCAGAGGTGGTTTGCCATTGCCTGCCTTCACGTCACAACCCTGCTATTCCTTGGAGGTCACCCATCCAAATACTAGCCAAGATCTGACAAGATCGCGCTAGCCCGGGCTATCCAGGTCAGGGTAACACCACATTATGGACAAAAAATAGTGAAGACTTGATGAAAGTTAAAGCAGAAAATGCCAAAGGAGGATTACAGCTGAACATCAAGAAGACAAAAGTAATGACTACTGGGGAATCGCACAACTTTAAGATTGATGAAGGAGAAATTGAATTTTTCCGTTCCTTGGCTCCATCATCAACCAAAAGGGAGATTGCAAACAAGAAATCAGAAGAAGACTGAGACTGGGAAGGGCAGCTATGAAGAAGCTTCCAGCCCTGGGTGGGGGCGCTGTTGATGCCAGTGTGGAGGGTGAAAAGCCTAAGGATGATTCTGGATGCCTCATTTTCCATGGAGGCCCAGGTCACCAACAGTGCCAGATCAGCCTTTTAGCATCTTCGGCTGGTCAGGCAACTGGTTCCCTATCTCTCCTCCCGGGACTTCGCTACAGTGACCCATGCAATGGTCACTTCCAGGCTGGATTACTGTGACTTGCTCTACACAGGGCTGCCCTTGAATCTGACCTAGAAACTGCAGCTAGTGCAAAATACGGCAGCGCACCTGTTGACTGCAACGTCTGCGACATATTCAGCCAGCACTGCGCCAATTGCATAGGCTGCCAAATGAGTACCAGATCTGGTTCAAGGTTTTGGTATTAACCTTCAAAGCTCTATGAGGCCAGGGACCAGCATACCTACGGGACTGTCTCTCTTCATGTGTGCCCCAGAGATCCTTGCAGTCTGCAGATCAACACCTTCTGGTAGTCCCCAGCCCAAAAGACATCCACCTAGCCTTGACCAGACTGGTGGAACTTACTCCCACCTGAGATCAGGGCCCTGTGGGATCTATTACAATTCTATAGGGCCTGTAAAACAGAGCTGTCCCGCCAGGCCTTCAGCTGCTACAGCAGACATCCAACCATCTCAGCCTCTTATGCTCATACTGCCCTATTTAATGGCCCTATGATGCTAAAAAGATCTGCACAGCATCTTCTGGTGAATTGGATGCCTTATTGAACATTTAGCCGGCACTCACACAGAAGGCACTCTGGACTACCACAAACCAGCCTGCCATCTTATTCTGAATTGGTTTTGAACTGGATTTAAACTTCATATTTTAGGCCCCGATCACACGGACAGGAAAATGCGGGGGGGGGGGGGGCATGTTGGTTGTCAAAGCGGCCTCTCTAGCAAAAGGCTCTGCGGGTTTAACCCCTTCCAGGGCTGCAGAGGAATGCAAACTGTGTCCTCTGTCCGGTCCCCTCCAGGAGAAGCTTCAGCCGGGCCGCCCTCCCGCCATGCCCCCCTGCACCTCCCCCTCTGCCGCCCGGTGCAGAGAGTTCCCTTCGAGCAGGCCGAGCCAGGAGTGGGGGGGGGGTACGGAAAAGAGGAGGGGGCTGTGTTGTTTGCTTTTAAACGAAGTGTGCGCATGCGCAGTTGGGTGCTTGTGCGCATCCCATGGAGACTTGGGGGGAAAAACCTTTTAGCGATGGGACATGGGCGGGCGCCGGATGCCACGATCTACCACCGGAAACGCGATCAGGCGCCCGCCCTTGCCCTGCGGTTTCCGGAAACTAGTACCTCAGAGGCACTAGTTTTTTACCCCGCATCTTCGTCGGGAAGCCTCGGGTTCACCACAGCTCTACGCTTCCCAGATGTGGCGCTGTGATCGCACCCGGAAAATCCCCCTATCTTCCGTCTCTGTAGAGTGGCTAATGCTCCGTGTGACCTCAGCCTTAATATTGTTTTTACCTGTCGTGGCCCACCCTGAGTCCACTTTCGAGGAGGGCAGGATATAAATCAAATATATAAATAAATAAGCTAGCAAAGCTAGAAAATATTCTTAAGTGTAAGAGGATGTGTCACTGGTGACCAAGGTCAAATTAATTCATGCCTTCATTATGTATGGATGTGAAAATCAATGAAGAAAGTTGATTCATTCAGAATGTGGTGTTAGAAGTTTTACAGATACCGTGGACTACCAAAAAGACAAATAAGTGGGTTCTTGATCAAATCAAGCCTGACCTCTCCCTAGGGGCTAAATTGACAAAATTGTGGCTATTGCACTTTGGGCATAGGAGAAGGAAAGAGTCACTGGCAAATAATAGTAGGACAAGTTGAAGGCAGCAGGAAAAGAGGAAGCCCCAACATGAGATGGATTGTCTCTATATAGCCACAGCCCTCCGTCTGGAAGGCCTGAGCAAGGCTGTTAACAATAGGATGTTTTGGAGAGTGTTAATTCATAGGGTCCCCAGTGACTTGACAGTACTTAATGTGCACACACCACCCTTCAACTCAGGTTGCTCCTCTGTCTCCCAATTTTACCCTAACAACAACCCTGAGAAGAAGGTTAGGCAAATAGGAGGTTAGGTCTCCTAGATCCTAGCTAGGGTTGCCAGGTTCCCCCCTAGCCACCAGCAGGGGATGGGGGGGGGGGATTGGGTTGCCAGTTCCAAGCTGGAAAACTCCTGGTGATTTGGGAGTGGAGCCTAGGGAGGACAGGGACCTCGGTGGGGCACAATGCCATTAAGTCCACTATCCAAAGCAGCCATATTCTCCAGAAGAACTGATCTCTGTAGTCTGGAGATGACCTATGATTCCAGGGGATCCCCAGGTCCCATCTGGAGCCTAGCAACCCTAAACTATTACACCACACTGACTTTAACTAGTGTGACTTGCTTTAATCAAACATCGAGAGATTTGGGAAGGTCAAGCAAAACTATGCTTTCCTCTCCCCAATCAGTTGACCGCAAACGAAACAAGGTCAGGCGACGGCCGTGACATCATCTACATGCGACAGCCTCCTAATCATTGCTCGGGCGCTGTATCTTGACTCACCAGTACTGGACAGCCTACAAGCCTGGGGAGAGAAGAAGCTGCGGCTTAACAAGCCCCTTGCGGCCGTTAGGAACAGCCACGACGACGCCATCGAGCCCGCAATATTTGTCGCCCTCAAGGAACCGCACGCTTACTAAACGGGTTCCGCCATATTGGATTTTTCCCGGAATGCACCACACTATGAACATCGCATTAAGAAGCAACAAGAGCGGAAACCAGTTCAATTCGAGACCGGAAGTGTCGATAAGGAATTTTTTTACCGATCCGTGTGGCTGAGAGTGGCGCCGGCAAACTTCGACTCGCATAATCCACTCTCCGGAATTTTTAAACTGCTATGCTATCTCTTTTTCAGCATCGCCGTTTGTTCTAGAAATTTAAACTTCAGCCGTTGAAGAATATTGTCTCCTGAACCGCCATTGGCTGATAAGTTCTAATTTAGGAATCTGATTGGCTAAGCGGCCAGAATTCGAAATGGTTGCCCCGCCTTCTTCCTCGCGGCTGGCGCGCGCCACAGAAAGAGACAAACTGGCTGTTTTGGCTCGTTTCGGCTGTTCCGCCCGTCTTGCCCCTTTTTCTGAACGACCAATCAAGAAAAGAGAGGTCTGGAGGGTGATTGGCCCGCATCGTGTTCTGAGAGCTGTGATAGGCTAGTGCTTGTGATGGGGATCTGTGGCGCGGGATTTTTGAGCGTCAGTCTGCTTCCGGTCGCGGAGGTAGGTATGGCTGAGTTGTCCTCGGAGGCTGTTCCCGCTTGGGAGTTCCATTTGCCGCTGTCTGCTGACGATTTGCTACGCAGTGATGGGCCCTCGCAGTACGCCGTGCAGGAGGTGCTGCCAGTCAAGGAACTCCGGGGACAGCTGGCAGGTCTGTGGGAAAAGGAGGGGGGGGGACGAAGGCGGGAAGACTTCTTGCGAAGACACAAAGGATGTTGCTGGAGCAAACAAAACATTCTCAGAGAAGGTGGCTGGAGGAGGGGGGCATAAGATTGTCTTGTTGCACTTTAGTCTAGGTATCTAGATTTTTTTTCTCCAACAGCTGCCAACTTGTAGCCTTTGAAAATACCATCAAGAGGCCCAAGATGGCTGGTGCTTGCATAGGGTTGCCAACCTCCAGGTGGTGGCTGGAGTTCTGGGATTACAATTCAGAGATCGATTCACCTAGAGTAAATGGCTGCTTTGGAAGGTGGGCTTTATGACATTACTAGGAAAAAGGCCTGTTGTGGAAATAAATACAACGGCCTCTAGAAAGATACTCTGGGCGGGTGCCCCGGCCTTGGACACTCAGTGTCAATTTGCTGTGGCGACCTCAGCAGGGTATAATGACACTGAGTCCACCATTTTCTCCAGAGGAACTGATCTCTGCTACCTAAAGAACAGTTGTAATTTTGAGTGATCTCCAGCCCTCACCTGGAGACTGGCAACAATGGTTCCCCAGAAGGGAATAGTTGGTTTGGAGGGTGGAGTCTATGGCTTTGTACCTGTCCAAGGTCCCTTCAGCTTTTCACCCCCTACACACCTGCAGCCTCTCCCCTGCTCTGAAGCCCTGACTGCTGCGTCACATTGGCTGTCATACGGGGGCCACCTCAGCAGCATATAAGGATACAGAGCCCACCATTTTCTTCAGGGGAACTGATCTCTGCCATCTGGAAAGCAGTTGTAATTCTGAGTGATCTCCAGCCCTCACCTGGAAAGTGGACACATTTTACCTCAGAACAGCAAACTGTTTAGAATGTTAGAGGCAAAATCCAATCAAGTCACATATGCAAATAACCTCTGTGTTCCGAGGCAAAGGCCAATGAGGCTGCATATGCAAATAACCTCTGTGTTCTGACTGGCTATGGCGGGGAGAGGAACAGCAAACTGTTTAGAATGTTGGAGGCGAGACTCAAGCAATGCAGCCAGTGGATAGGGACAGATACTGAGTGACACACCAGGGCGCCAACCAATTCCGGAGCATGTGGAATGTCATAGAGAAGTGCCACCACCATTTGGCTTTTATTTATAAGGGAATGCCCTGTTGAATTCTCTCTTCTCCAGAAACCCAGCCCTCCTCAGGCTCCGCCCCCCCCCCCCCAAGTCTCCAGGTATTTTCCAACCCTTAGCTGGCAACCCTATGCTTGTAGCAAATTGCCTCTGAATAAAATGACTCCATTTAGCCATAATAATGTGACATAATAGCATTTGCGTAGTGCTACTGGTGTGTTCAAAGCATGGCATGATCCTGTGATTAGCCCATAAGGTACTGGATCTTAGAGTGTGGGTTGTGGGTAGGATTGTGAACAAACTGGTGAAGAAAATGTCCTGTCCCTTGCATGTGATTAAAAAAATAAGGCCAAGACCGATGGTGCACAATCAGGTTAAAAACTATGTTTTATTACTTAGTTAAATTTCCAAAAATTCCCTATGTGTTTCGCCAACAGGCTTTGTCGGGAATTTGTTCGCCTTGCAGTAGTTCTTCAAAAAGAGTAAAAGATCAGTCTTTTACAATCGTTTGATCATTTACTTGTTTTGAAGAACTACTGCAAGATGAACAGACTCCCCTGACAAAAGCCTGTTGGCAAAACATGTAGGGAATTTTTGGAAATTTAACTAACTGGGGCCCTGTTCACACGGAGCATTTGCCACGCTAAAGATATGGATGGTAGGTGGATTTTCCGGGCACTATCACACCGCTACATCTGGGAAGCGTAGTGCTCCCGTGGCTAACCCGTGGCTTCCCGACGAAGTTGTGGAGTAAAAAAACTAGTACTTACGATGTACTGGTTTCCGGAAAACGCGGGGCAAGGGCGGGCATCTGATCAAGTCCCCACAGGATGCGCACAAACGATCATGCACAAACTTCGGTGAGACAAACAAAAAAACCCATTTGCCACAGAAGCGGCGCGGCGCAATTGCCGGTGTGAACGCGCTGTGCTGCTTCTTTGCCGCACTGCAGACTAGCCGTCTGATCGGCACCTAACGCCCAGCTACAGGACCTCGACAGGACGTCTGATTGGGCTGCCGCACGTTACTTTGTTCTGGGGCAAACAGCCACGCCTCCATCTGATTGTGCACAATCGGTCTTGGCCTTTTTTCCCATCTCCTCTGACTGGTGCAGCTCTTTGTCTTCTTGTCTCTGACCCTTGAATAGGCACCTAATGTGTACAGTTGGACAGCAAAGCTTTTCCTGGTATGCAGATAAATAACATTGCCTGGTAAATAATGTAGCATGAAACCTTTATTTAAAGGGTAGGAGATTTGTTTTCCCCCAGGCTGTTGGAAACCTTCAATGTGAGGGTGAGCTGAGATGGTGATCTTGAGTTTGTCTCTGCGTAATCTGCAAAACATCCATGCAGTGAAGCCTGTTGTTTAGCAATTTATCCAATATTAGACATCCAGAAAAGTATATGTTCGTTCATTGTTAATCCATATGACACTGCTGCCTTCTGTCCTACCTGAAGTTTTCAGTAGGCCAGTTTTGCATTAATACAAGGGCTTCGTTACCTGTGGACAGGCTTGGCCTTCTGGAAGGTGACTGGTGTCATAAATGATCTCTTTTCTCTCCCCTGGCAGGATTCCAGGCAGGATTCCGCACCCAAGGAGCTCTTGCCATCCTACAGCACTTTGATACCTTGTACAGCATCCTACAGTGAGTTTATACACTTAGTTGAGTGGTTAATACCATGGGAGGTTTCTGATATGAGGGGTGGGGGTTAGTTGGGCAAAAGGCCTCTGGCTTTTTCTGATATTGATGGAAGTACAAAGGCTTTGCAGAGGACGTGGAAGGGTAGAAAATCTTCTCAGTGAGGCGTTTTAAATGGCTGGACGATGAGATCAAGCAGTACTACGGAACTGCTTCCTCTTTGTAGCAGTAAGAGAGCTTGGTGTGTGTAGGCAGCCGCTGTGAGACTAACAGCCTCCCCCTTCAGGTGTTTCAGATGCAAATATTTAATTCATTTGGAGGTTTGTGTCCTGTACTTTCTCCTTAAGAGAAAGCTCACAAGAAAATCTGAAGCGTCAGAAGAAAGTTCAGACCATGTTGGTCTGAAGCGTCAGAAGAAAGTTCGAGTCCAGTGACACCTTTAAGACCAACTAAGCTGGTCTTGAATAAATTAAAATCTTGTGGGTCAAAGGTGCCACTGGACTCGAACTTTGACTTGTGTATAATCAGACACACTCTTGCAACACTATAGGAAGTATTGTTTATATCAATTTTTATTAGAATGTTCACTGATTTGGCGGGGATGGATGATTATGTATAGTAATGAGCACAAACTGGCCTAACAACTAAAGTTCATCATGGATTTTGGGTTATTTGTGGTTCATGAAGCAATGACTGCAAACTGAAAAACTACCACGAACATTTGATGGCGGTTCATGAAGAGCAGAAAGCAGGGGTTTAAACCTGCTTTCTGTTCTTCAAGGGGAGCTCCCCGCCGCTCAGCTGTTTTGTTTAAATGGCTCACAAACCAAGTTGGTTTGCAAACCACCCTCCTGGTTCGTATGGGTTTGTGGTTCAGCCACAAATTGAACTGCAAATATGCCATTCATGCCCATCCCTAGTTTACTTTTAAACTATTTGTCCATCTCTTGGAAGCTAACCAACAGTCAATGAAAATGCATCCTCCGTGTCCTTACTGCAACTAAAAGACTTGTATTACAACACTGGAAAGGTAAATAATGCCCACTTCCTGTGAATCAGTGAATTGAGGACCTTAGGACTTTATGGACACATGGCATGCAGATGACAACTGCATGTGGACTTATGTTTTAGATATTTGGAAACCTTTTATAAAACTTAAATGTAGGTCTGCCACCACTCTTGTTATATACTTGCTTCTATTTCATACTTCCCCCCCTTCCCCCCCCCTTTTTTAAAGTAGTTGCTGAATTTGAGTTCTTTTCATGTTTTTTAATACTTTTTTTTAAAAAAACTGATCTAACTTGATAATTTTAATATTTTATGTTTTTATTGTGCTTTGTAAGCCATCTCGAGCAGGTTCCCTGGTGTAAAAATTTTCCAAGTATAGAAATTGGTGTGCCTGTTTGACCACTCATCCTTTTCCTCAAATCCAGTGGCACATGATCCATCGTTTTCTATGGCAGTTAATTCTGTTGACACCCCTTGCGTTGACATTTCAATACCAACTAAATGGGTACTCCTCCCAGGTGCTGTGGGGATCTTCTAAAATTCCCCATATTAATTTACTCAGTTGTGGTTTTTTAACAAATTTATTTATGATTTTCCATTACAAAACCTCAAAAAGAAAGTAAACATAAAAATAAAAACCATATAGAACAGTAACAATATTTTGTGTATGAAATATATTTATGGAGTTACACATTTTCTCCCAACCATTTATTAACTCTAAACCATCTTATTTGAAAAGCTGCGGTGGCTCAAGTGGTTAAGACGCTGAACTGCAGGCTGTGGAAGGTCAGTAGTTCAGCAGTTCAAGACCCGGGTGCCGCAAGACGGGGTGAGCTCCCGTCTCTAGTTCCAGCTCCTGTCAACCTAGCAGTTCGAAAGCAAGAAATTGCAAGTAGATAAATAGGTACCACTTCGGTGGGAAGGTAACAGCGTTCCGTGCGCCTTGGTGTTTAGTCATGCCGGCCACATGACCACGGAAACGTCTTCAGACAGCGCTGGCTCTTCGGCTTTGAAACGGAGATGAGCACCGCAACCCTAGAGTCGGATTCGACTGGCTTTCGAGCAAGGGAGACCTTTACCTTTACCTATCCTCTTTACCTGAAAGAATCATGTTCAACTTGTCCATTTCTGCCACATCACAGATTTTTATAATCAACTCCTCTCTAGCAGGTAGGTTTTCAGATTTCCAACACTTGGCAACCAATATCCTGGCTGCAGTTAGGATATATGACAAAATACACAGTTCATCATGCCTATATCCATCTGGTATTATATTAAGTAAATAGATTTCTGGTACTAGCTGCAATTCAATGCCCATAATCTCTGTTATTAACTGCTTAATACCCTTCCAAAATTTATAGATCTTTTCACACCGCCACCGCATGTATTATTTTTATTTGAAAGTAGAACACCTAAATATTTGATCTTGTTGACCACCTCGATACCTCAATGTCTTAAAAACAAACCCCCTTCTCCACACACATGTATGCAGTCTTTGAAGATTGGGCCATTCTAACTGTAGGGCTGGATCGCACTTGTCCCATACGTCTTTATCTTCCCTACAGCCACTTCAGGAGCGTGGAAGCTTCCGTTAAGGAGGATGCCCTGGAATTGATGCGGAAAGGTGAGTTAGTCCCCCCTTCAGAATGATCATTTCTCCTTTTGTTTCTTACTGCTTCATGATGATATCAAGGCAATTGTGACTCCACCGGCAGGCTGCTCCAGCAACCTGTTCCCTTCATACAGGTCTGTAATCTTGGTGGGCAATGCAAAGCACTGCATGTTCACTGTAAGGGCAGACCGACATTATCTCCCGTTCCTTGCAGCCTCTGCTCCAGAGGGGCTGTCTGCTTCTTTGCAAAGCGGGCCATCTGGCAGACCAGGGATACGGGTACAGGGCAAGCCTAAAGCGTCCAGGTAACAGTTTGCTGTGTGTGGCCAGACCTATGGCTGGTGGGGCATCATGAGCACAAGTCTTTGGTAATCTGAAAGTGGCGCAGAGTTTGCCTCTGAAGAACCCCGTAAAGGCTGTGATAACATGCTAGGGAACGGTATGTTGTCCCCTTCTCTTCTCCAGTGGTGTCCAGTCACTCCAACGCCCTGACAGCCATCTTGGACAGTGCCGACCTGACACCCTCACTCCGCACTCTTCACTGCAACGCTCTCAAGATGAACTGCTATGTGCTTGTGCGGCTCGTGGAGGCTTTCGAAACAGAGGCCAGCAGGAGCGGCCTGGTGGGGCTGGATTCCAAGAAAAAGGTAGAAGGCTGAAATCCGTAACTGATGTGGCCTTTTTCCCTGAAGTCCATCTCGGGTACCCAAAGATCAAGTTAATGCCAGTTTTGGGGTCTGTATAAGAAAACTAACAGTGCTGTCCTAAGCAGAGTTATACCCATCTAAGCCCATTGATTTCTGTGCATTATCCTATGAGTGTCGCGGGCCGCAGAGTGAGCTCTACAGCGAAGGCACAAGGACTACTGGTTAGGGGAGGTGCTATAGACCTGATTTCACTCTTTGTGGCCTCTGATTGGCCAGATTGTCCCTCATGTGACAGCACTATACCATAGCTTTCCTTCCAGTTCCTGCTGGTTATTAGGGGAAGTCTCTTATTAACAAAAGCTTTGTTTTCAGGCCCTGGCCTGGATAGGCCAGGCAAGCCCAATCTCGGAAACCTCCAAGGAATACCGGATCTGGGACACAGAGGCAGGCAATAGCAAGCCACCTCTCTGAAATGTCCAAGCCTCACTAGGGGTCACCAGAAGTCAACCATGACTTCTAGGCACGCACACGTACACACACAAAATACCCTTTAAAAACAACAACCAAAAGCTTTGTTTTCTGAAAGCTGCATTTGTAATGCAACCTGGCATTCCTCTAGAACGGAGGTCCCCAACGTGGTGTCCCTGGATGCCATGGCGCCAACCAACAGCTTTCTTGGTGCCCGTGACGAAATGGCATTTACCTGGGTGTGTTAGACGGAGGCCGTCTGTACCTGGTGTTTAAAATGGTTCCCCATAAGGGTAAGTGGCCTGTAGTTCCAGACAAGGGCCTGCAGGGATAACCCTCATCAGGTTGATGGGACTGCCTCATTTGCCTGCCTACATTTCCCAGAAGCTCTAGGGGAAAAGGGCGGGGAAATATGGACACGCCCCAGGGGTGGACCTAGGGGGATAAAGGCTTTGGCCCTGCGGGGGGAGTGCAGTCTTCAGCCTTTGGCTCAGCGTGGACGGCAGCTGCAAGGGAGTAGACAGGTGGGGGCTCCTGTTGCCTCAAACTCCAGGGCATCCAGGCCACTATAAACGGTGGTGGACAGCCAGGAGGGCAACAGTACCAGTGACCAGTCCTGTGAAGGGCTGGGGTTTCTCCACAACCTCCAGAGATAGTGAGAGTGTGTGGAGGACAGAGGAATGGCGTTTTACATCGTATTTATTTTCTGCCCAGGTTGTGTTAATGTGCTCTTGTTTATTTTCTGCGCTTAACTTGTACATAGTTAAAACCTTTTTTGAGTGCCTTGTCCACTTAGTCCTCCCTGCTCAGCACGTCACCAGGGGCAAATGGAGGCTAGGGAACACAAACGGGCCCAAATCGGAGGGGTTGCCAACTCTCCAGGAAGCCTCAGGACTGTGTGGCCTTCGCTGTACATGAATTTGACTCACGTGGCTTTTGCCTACTAGGAATGTTTATAGTATGCAGCAGTCAGAAGTCGCTATCAAATTCTAAATAGATAAAGTATTGAAAGCTAGCTTCCTGGACTGTCTTAGAGAACCTTGACTCTCTGAGTCACCTTGGCTTAACCCAGGTTTCCTTGACTTTCCTGACCCCAGAGATAGAAATAAAGGGCTGACTTTGTTGTATACGTCAGATGTATGTCAAATGCTCATCACAGACTTGACTGACAGTTCCATTAGCTTCAGTGGGTGAAAGAAAGAGTATTTAATTTATTTATATTTATTTATATTTATTTATATTTATATCCCGCCATTCGGCAGGCTCAGGGTGGCTAACAGAATATACGAAAATACATTAAAATTCTGTTAAAACTATCAGTCAATGTAAAAATCATACAACTTATTTTAAAAGATGGTGAGTCTTCCGATGTTGGCTGTCAACTGAACACTGTCGGGATTTAGTCTTGTTCTTTGTTGTTCTGATCAACTACCTTCAGTTATGGGTCTTAGCAGAACAACCAAGGATATCCTTTATAGAAGTACAAGTGCCACTGTTTATGTATTGGAGTTGTATTGAAATATTCTGTGTTGAATATTACAATGCTACAAAAATGTTTTCTGACTTAAGAGTGTGTAATGAAGTAAACTGTTTTGGTGTAGAATATCTCTCTCTCTCTCTCTCTCTCTCTCTCTCTCTCTCTCTCTCTCACTCTGAGCGCGGATTGCCCCCCTCCCCACCAGCTTCTCTCCCTCCCCAAACTGAACGCAGTGGGAATGAGGGTGCATAAAAAGGTTCCTGTACCCTTCGTTTCCCCACTACTCCGCCTCCTGCAGCAATTTTGTGGTTCCTCCCACCCACCCCCATGCCAGAATTCTAAAGGTGACCCCAGGCTCCCGAAAGTCAGGAGGCCATGCTCTAGAACCACAGTGCCATTGTCCGAAGGAAGTGTGTGCACACCCCCTGCCCTGCGTACGTCTCTACCCGAAGCCGATGTCCCACCTTTGCCTTCCAGAACAAGAAGAGCCAGAGCACCAGCTTCCTCTGGGAGGAGGAGAGGCAGCCCATCCTGCAGCTGCTCACACAGTTGCTGCAGCTGGACCTCCACCGTCTGTGGATGGGCTCGGTAGTGGAGGAAGAGTTCGTCAGGTGAGGATCCCGCAAGGGATTTGAACGAGGAGCCGCATTCAGGCAAGGCCCTTGAAAGCGGGCTTTCGTGCGCTGGAAGAAATTGCCATGAATCTTGGTGTTCTGTAGGGAAGGGAGGAATGACCAGATCGGCGAGAGAAACGAGCTGGAGTGGGATGAGGTTCAAGGGATCGATTCAGTGTGCTAACGAGCAGCAAGTAGTACATGGGCTTGGGGCTCCTGTAGGCCTTGTAGTGCCCCCTGACCTGGATGGCCCGAGCTGGCCTGGTCCTCATCAGGTCTCAGAAACCCTGGGGGGGGGGGACCCCCATATTGACTGCAACTCATCACAACACCTTCCGCTACCAGACTTTGTAGCAGAGTCCCTGCATTGCTCTGCTGAAGGTGAGCCACTTCTGTTGTACATCCCTGCTTCCCTTCCTCCAGTTTAATGACCGGCTGCTGTTACCACATCCTGGAAAATCCCAGCATTGGCCACCAGAGGCATCGGCCCACCCGAGAGGCGGCCATTCATCTGCTAGGGGTGGCCCACCGGCGCTACGACCACATGCTCAGTAAGTCCTCTCGGGGCGCCCCACCCAGGCCTGGCAGCTGCTGCTGCTGCACATAGGCCTTGGCCTGCTGCTCCTGCTCCCAACCTGTCCCCCCCCTCTCTTTCCCAAAGTGGGGCCTCGCTCAGCACGGCTCTCTCCGACCTGTCCCCTTCTTGCAGATGCCACTCTGAAGGTCACCCAGATGCTCCAGCACTTTGAGCACGTGGCGCCAGTGTTTGTGGAGGCTGTGAGCTTGTGGGTCAAGGAGTACGGCATGAAGAGCATCGTGGGGGAGCTGCTGAGGTCAGACCCCTCTTCCGCCACCCTCCCCCCCCCTCACACACACTAATTTTCCGCAGTTCTGTCCGGTTTGACCCCTTTGTTCGTCCCTCAGGGAAATTGGGCAGAAGTGCCCTCAGGAGCTGGCCCGGGATGCTTCGGGAGCGAAGGGCTACGCCGTCTTCCTCGCTGAGCTGGCAGAGCAAGCGCCAGCCATCGTACTCTCCAACATGAGTGTCTTGGTGCATCACCTGGACGGAGAGGTACTGGGCTCCGATGAAGGTCCCATGGAATATCCATTGGCAGAGCTGAAACATGCAGAGGAACCAGAGTGCCAACTGTTTAAAGGAAATAACTCCGTTATTTAAACTCTGATAGAGGAGAGGGAGAGAGGCTCAACTTACTGTCTTAACAGCTGTGAGAGACTGGAACGAAGGGGAAGGGCTCAGTTGGAGGAGGAAGTCTCCAAAGGGCCAATCAGGAGACAGGAAGGACAGCATTTGAAATTCTGGGAAGTCCCTAATCTAGCTATGCTGACTAGCAGTCCTTTAGTTGTCTGATCTTCTTCAAGTACATGCACGATAGACCTTGTATATTCCAACAATATCTATCTTGCCTGTTGCCTCCATTGCTCAGCTCTTCTTCGACCCAAGATTTTGGGTGTACGTGAGAATTTGCTTCTGAGTCTCCTTTCTACCTTGTGTTAGTCTCCTCCTTCCATCTCCCTGAGTGCATTGCTTTTTTCTTTTTTTTTTGCTCCACTGTTCTTCTGTTTATGCTTGCGGCCGCTCTTCCTAGATGTGGCTCTTGCTGCCTATCTCACTTCATGCCTTGGCACATGCAAGCGGAACGCCCAGACTACTACTGCCTATGTCTTACTCTCCCCCCCCCCCAATAACGTAGCATTCTTCTCAAGAGGGAGCAGTGTGGTGCCGCAGTTAGAGTGTTAGAAACCCACGATCTGGGAGGACCCCAGTCGGAAACCCCCCCCCCTTCTGCCGCGGAAACTCGCTGGGTGACCTTGGGCCAGTCACACCAGACTCAGCCTGCCCTCCCTCAAAGGGTTGTAGAGAGGATGAATGGTGGAGAGAATAGCGTACGCCATTTTGGGTCCTCATCGGGAAGAAAAGCAGGGTGTAAATGAAGGAAATAGACTGTCTTGGTGCTCCTGAACGCTTGGCCCTTCTTGTTTCACTGCTCTGTAGGGTCATCTCTCTGAATGACTGAAGGCCGGGGTTCTTCTGGTCTCGGTCCTCCATGTGCATGCTTAGAAATGAGAGCAGTTGCCTCTAGAATTGTCTTTCAAGTAGCCTGACTGGAGATCCATAATCCTGCGCTGCAGGTGGCCTGCCCCGGGGCTCACCGGTGCCAGCTCTGAACCACTAATTCAGCTGATTTCTTTTTTAAAGGGGGAGGGGGACTTCCTAATCCTCTTTGCCTCTCAATCATGACTCATCGAGCAGTCCTCACATTCTGCCAAGAAGGCAGCATTTGGCTGGCTTTTCCCTCCGCAGTATTTGGCAGGTCATGACTAATAAGGCGAGTTCAGCCTGGCTCAGAGCCGCTGCTGTCGTGGGCGTCCGGCCCACAGCTGCGGCACAGATGATGCAAACAGATGATGCAATCCGAGCTCTTTGTGCTGTGAGCTTCCTGCGCCCCTCTTCTCTTGTTGCCCCCCCCCCCGGCTCGAACCACCCGGGGAGCTGCCCCCTTCCTCTGAAAGCAGCGTCCTCTTTCCTCCAGAGCTACGGGATGCGCAACGCCATCTTGGCGGCTATGGCAGAGATGCTACTGCAGGTGCTGAACGGGGAGCAGCTGGAAGACTCCGCCCGCAGCACGCGGGATCAGTTTCTGGACACCCTGCAGGCACACACGTGTGACGTCAACGGGTTCGTGCGCAGTCGCGTGCTGCAGCTCTTCACCCGAATTGTGCAGCAAAAAGTGAGTCTGGGATGGCTTGGGAGGGGAGCAACGTTTGCTGTCTGCAGCCTTCAACACGACGCCTCGAAGGACAGGGCGGTTTCGTTTAGAATAATTCTCTCCTCCTTGACTTTGAAGGCTGCTTTGATTTTACTTATGCTGTTTGTATCCCCACCGTCCTCCTGAACAATGAGACACCAAGGGGGGATCACATCGAATCTAAAAAATACCGTCTCGGATCATGGAAGTACTGGTAGAAAGAAGCAGGCCACAGCCTCCCCTCTCATGAGCTATCGAAAGCACGTCAGGAAACCAGCTTTCCGAAACCTCCAAAATCTTTGCAAAGTTGGGGGGTGGTCTTCCTCACATCCCCAGCACAGAGACCACTCCCCGTTCCGCAGCTGAGACCACGCAACCCAGAAAAGTGGCACAGAGATGGTTCTTGCTCACCTGAGCGGAGGAACTGCTAATGATCCCTGGTCTGTGTCAGGTGGGTGGGTGGTCTGTAGCAGAATAGCTAGTTCTGAGTCCAGTAGCACCTTAGGGACCAGTAAGATACTCTGGGTATGAGTTTCCAAGGGTGAAAGCTCTTTTTTTCAGATATGAAGCGATACCCTGAAAATTTTGTTGGTCCCTAAGGTGGCTCAAGTGGTTAAATCGCTGAACTGCAGGCTGTGGAAGGCCGGTAGTTCAGCAGTTTGAGACCTGAGTGTGCTGCATGATGGAGTGAGCTCCCGTCTCTAGTTCCAGCTCCTGCCAACCTAGCAGTTCGAAAGCAAGAAATTGCAAGTAGATTAATAGGTACCACTTCAGTGGGGAAGGTAACAGCGTTCCGTGCACCTTGGTGTTTAGTCATGCCGGCCACATGACCACGGAAACTTCTTCGGACAGCGCTGGCTCTTCTGCTTGGAAACGGAGTTGAGCTCAGCAACCCTAGAGTCGGATTCGACTGGCTTTCGAGCAAGGGAACCTTTACCTAAGGTGCTACTGGATTCTAATCTAGCTATTCCCTGGTCTGGCAACATGTCTCATGAGGCAGTGCTACAAATACATATGCGGGTCCCAGGTCACGAAGGGCTTTAGACCGCAGCCTTAGAGTATTGCCAGGCTTAATGTTTCTGCTTTTGTGTGCAAAACAGTAAAGGGCAATAAATAAAGAAAAGGACTCGAGTCCGAGGAGGGATAAGGACCAAAATGTTTTGAATAAATAAAGAGAGTCTCCTTAGCCAGATTTTCAGAGTACAGGTTTTAATGTGAAGCAGGAAACAGCTGGAACTGCCGTGGCAGGCTTAGTTTCCAGGACCGACATCTCTTGTGGTTGAGTCCTCCAGGCGATGCCTCGCTCCTTACCAATGCTCCCTCTAAGCTGTGGAGTCTTGTGAGCAAAAATTCTACTTTGTGAGCTACTGGCATTCAAGTTGTGAGCGAGGGATTTGGCTGCTGTATAAATTAGTCTGCCCTGGAGCCATCTTTCCTGAGCTAAGACAAAAATGTGTGAGCCGGAGGCTAAAAAACTGTGAGCTAGCTGACACTAACTCAGCTTAGAGGGAACACTGCTCCTTACCTTCTGTTGCTGAATAACCATGTAGATGTGGCCTGACTGAGGCTGCATTGTACAAGTTTCTGCCTCAAGGCGGAAGTTTTGTTTTAAGGGGCCTTCCCATGGATTGATCTACTATAGGTCCTGTCAAGACACTGTTCCTCTCACTCACCGTGTGTAAAAGCTCTGCTGGATCAGACCAGTGGCCCATCTGTTCATCATCCTGTCTCGCACAGAGGCCAGCCAGTTACTTTCAGAGACCAACAAGAAGGCATAAAGGCTGAGGCCTTCCCCCGATGTTGCCTCCTGGCACTGCTTATTGGGAGGTTTACTGCCCCTGAATGCAGAGGTTCCATAGATGCCAGGCTGTCCGAATAGGGTGTATTGTGTGCTGAAGCACCCTTGCTGGCCTTGCGGAGAATGAGTCTGCTGCAGATGGTGGTCAGTGTTTTGGCTCAGTGCTTCCAAGTCCAAAAGGTATACGAAAGCAACTAGAGGCAGATACTCTGACTGGCTTGCAATGTAGGCCTTCGGTTTACTGATCTGGCCTGCCTGTATGAAACACCGTGCCTCTTGTGGGATCCCCTGGTCTTCTGCCTCCAGGGTTTGGAGGCTAACTTCAGGGAGGGGATAATTCCCGTTGTTTCTTGAAAAGCAGTTCAAGGCAACAACAGAGACTCTTGTTGCCTGAATGCTGCTGGAAGCTTGCTGCTATAAGCCCAGGCTAGAATGATTTCATCAGATCTTGGTAGCCATGCAGGGTTGGCCCTGGCTGGTATTTGGATGGGCGACCTCCAGGGAATACCACGGTCATGACATAGCGACAGGAAGTGGCAAACCACTTTGGAAACGTCTCGCCTTAAAAACAAGTCTAGCTCACCACCTAGTGGTGCACAACGCTAAGGAGCTAGAACTTCTGGCTGCCAGACAATCTTCGGATCTACTGGCTGTTCTACACACAATGCCATATGATGATGATAATATTACATCTCTGCTTACTGTTTCCACTGAGGTATCTGTTTGGGGATGCAGATTTGCAAGTAGGCGCAACGCCAAGTGTCTCATCTCTCACTTTTCCCTGCTGCCTGCTATAGGCCCTGCCCCTGACTCGATTCCAGGCTGTTGTGTGCCTCGCCGTGAGCCGGCTACAGGACAAGTCTGTAACTGTGGTTAAGAATGCCATTCAGCTTCTGGCGGCCTTCCTCTCCAACAACCCCTTCTCCTGCAAGGTAAACTCAGGGGAGGGGCTGTGGCTCAGGGGCAGAGCATCTGCTTGGCATATAGGAGGTCCCAGGTTCAATTACCCGGCATCTCCAGTTAAAAGGGTTGGGTAGGAGGAGATGTGAAAGAACTGTACCTGGAGACCTGCTGCCAGTCAGAGTAGACAGGACCAGGGGTCATTTCTTCCAGGAGCGCACAGGAGTGGAGCTCCGGCAGTAAAGAGCCCAGGGGGGTGGGCACATGCAACAAGCCCCACCCCCTGCTTCCAGCAGCCCCAGGTCATGAGGAGCAAGAAGCAGCCCTCCTTTCCTTCTCTCCTTTCCCTCCTTATTTCCTTCTCTCTCTTTCTTTCTGTCCTTTTTTCCTTCTCTCTTTCTTTCTTTTCCTCCTTCTTTCCCTTTACTTCCTTTCCTTCTCTCTTTCTTTCCTTCTTTCCCTTCTTCTTTCCTTCTCTTTCTTTTCCCCCTTCCTTCCTTTCTGCACAGATCTGTGTGTGTCCCCCCGCCCCATAGATAGCAATCCAAAACAGTCCAGTGGCAGCTTTAAGACCAAGTTTTATTCAGGTACAAGCTCTCCCTCCTCTGTGAGGGCAGATCTGTGCGTCCATCCCCCGTCCCGTCCCCCCATAGCTAGCAATCCAAAACAGCCCAGTGGAGCCTGAGCGGTGGGTGTTGCCTTCTGACACACTTCCGGTGATGTCAGGGGGTGTGACATATGCAAATAAGTTATCTAATTAGTTATGCTAATGAGCTCCTGCACCTCTTTTTCTACGAAATGACCCCCGGACAGGACTAACCTTGACAAACCAGTGGTCTGATTCAATATAGTGCAGCTTCATGTGTTTAGGTTCTCCACATTTCTATGTGAGGGGGGGGGCAGTAAATATATAAGAGTCCCTTGGCTCAAAGTTGGAAGCTTAATCTCCCCAAAGCTCATGGACTGGGTGAATTGTTGGCCTTGAACTCTCCTAGGGTGACTTTTAGAAACTCCCCTGCCCCATGACTCAGGGAAGCGTGTTAGACCTACATGCAACTTGCCAATGAGCCATCAACTTGGGCCCAGCAAGACTAGGATGCAAGATCTGTCAGACACTTTGGAGAATTTGATGGGGGGGGGGGCAGACCCATGGCTGTATTAAAGCGCCTCCTCCCTGTGTCCGCAGCTGAGTTGCACAGACTTAACGGAGCTGCTCCAGAAGGAAAGGCAGAAGCTGCAGGAATTGAGGGACAAGCGCAGGACCGCAGCTGGTAAATATGCGTCTCAGTCCTTGATGTGTGAAGAAGCCTGGTGAGGCTGAAGCTAAGAGTGGGAGGGGGAAAGACTTTCGGGGGGGGTCTACGGTATCTACGGCCACATCAGAGCCCCTCTAAAAGTTCTCATTGTGCAGCCTGTTTAAATCTTTTGTCTTTGTTTAAAGTTTCCCCACTGTTTGAGGGTTTGGGACTTGGTTCATATCCATTTATTTGGAACACTTACAAAATAGTCAAAGAACAGTAATAACAGTAGCAGGGGTAGGAAACCCTTCCCAAAAGCTCCCTACCCCAGTTGACTGCCGAAAACTCCTTGCTTAGGTTCCTGCTAAATTAACTTCCATGATAGTTTTCCATAGCAGAGCCGCCTTGCAGAACCAAAAGCCCTCTGGCACTTTCCAGCAGGCTTGCACAAACGGCCACGCCCAGTCTGTAAGAGCCTGCAACAGGATGGAAGCAAAAAGCTCAGCCTTTATGCCGCCGGCCACCATCTTCCCACAGTTCCCCTCTCTTGCCATAAATATTAAGCTATCCAATGACCATCAGTGTTCCCTCTAAGCTGAGTCAGTGTGAGCCAGCTCACAGTTGTTTAGCCTCCGGCTCACAGATTTTTGTCTTAGCTCAGGAAGGGTGGCTCCAGAGCAAACTAATTTATGCAGTAGCCAAATTGCTCTCTCACAAAGTAGAATTTTTGCTCACAGGACTCCAGAGCTTACATGGAGCATTGATGACCATTGGCATGGAAGGCTCTTTGTCGGTTTTGAAAGTTGACTTTCCCTGCCATGCAGAGCTTTCTTCTCCAAGGCTCATTGTTCAGCCGCTGACACAGCAGTGGAAGGCTTTGTCTGACTTGGCTTCTTTCTTCCCCCTCCAGCCGTGGTGATCCCTCCAGAGGAAGAGTGGGAAGCCATGCAGCCAGAACTCCGGGCAACCGTGAAGAGCTGCCTTAGCTCCCAGCCACAGAGGGAAGAAGCAGGCGACCTCGAGGCAGGGGACCCAGCCCAGGTGTCTGACAAGATCGTCCAGCTGTTGAGGAAATCCAGTTACAGGTGAGTAGATCTGGGAAGCATGTAATTCTTGATCGCAATGGGAGAACTTTGGGGGGGGGGATTTCTGTCTTTCAGGTAGTAACCTGCAAGAAGGTTGACCAAGGGACCCAACACCTCCCATAAGTAAAAAGCTGACGAATGTGTGAAGGCGAGCTGGATCAAGCTTACCTTTGTTTCTGTGCACGTGTTCAATGCAGGGACGCTGTACTCCTGGCGCAAAGAGCCGTATGCCTTTTCCAGGGGGCGGAGCCATTTGTCGGCTGTTCAAGAACAGAGGATGAGGAAGACTTTCTCCTGGGCCTGTTGAGAACCCTCTATACGGGTAACAATCTAACAGAGCTCTATTTAATCACGCCACTTGGTGTGTCTCCGTGTCAGCAAAAGGGTCCACTCTCCCAGGGGCAGACTAGGTGGGATCACGGCAGCCGTGTTGATGTAGCTGCACATGAAGGGCGCTTATGTCTGTGGTTTGATCCCAGCTGTCTTCTGCGCCAGATGTTTGTGGGAAGGTTCGGGGTGGCGTGATTTTTCACCCAATTTTTGCTCGCAATAGAACGGTGATCGAAAGCACCATCAAATCACAGCCAACTTATGACAACCTCACAGCATTTTCAAGGCAAAAGATGAACAGAGGTGGTCTGCCACTCCCTGCCTACATGTAGTGACCCTGGATTTCTTTGGTGGTCTCCTGTACAAGTACTAACTAGGGCCTACCCTGCTTAGCTTCCAAAATCTGATAAGACTAGTCTGGGGGGTGGGGGGGGCGGAATCTGCCATGGGGAGCCTTGGCCCAATTGTCATAACTTGACAGGGGAAGCTGGAACTTCACTCACCCCCTATTTCCATTCAGCAGGTTCCCAGCCAGGTGGAGGTACCCAGGAACCCACAGATGGGGCAGAGAACACGGGAGGCGAAGAGCAAGGGGCGGAGGAGCCACCATCGAGTGAACTGGCGAAGCAGGAGATGCTGGTACAATACCTACAAGACGCCTACAGCTTTTCAGTAAAAATCACAGAAGCCATGAGCCTGGTCTCCAGGATGATGTATGAAAGCTCTGTCTCTGGTGGGTGATGCGGTTCTCTCTCCTTTCCTCTCCAACCGTGTGCATCATTGTCTCTTGAATTCTGGGCTAACTGAGGGCCAAACAAGCCCTTTACACCAGCTTGCAGAAAGGCCTATCTGAAAAATCTGATAGATAGGATCTAACTCCAGGGTCCCTCGGTCTAATTATTCCAGTCCGTGATATTCCAAGATAAAAATTTTATTTGAGGACTTAAAGACAATCATTTAGATGAAGCTACAGAATCTATGGGCTTCAGTGGGTATGTGCGAGTCCTGGGACTGGGATTTCCTGGGTTAATTAAGATTACTTCATTCTAACAGAATTTGTTTTGAGGCAGAGGGTCCACAGTTAATGGTAGCTTCTCATTTACTCATACACACGCTAGAGTCAGATTCACTTTATGGGAAGAACCTTTTTGAGAAAGGGCTATCTGGAAACTTGGGCCATCGATAATTTGGAAATGCCTCCTCCCGCGTTTCAGAGGCTTTCCAGAGACTCAGTGCACAGTGTAGTTAAACCATTCTCAACTGCACTGCTTCAGAATATAGTGTGTATTGGGGGGGGGGGTGACTAAATGCATCCACGGCACCAAAATAACTTCCCTACATGTCCCAAACTAGACATTGAGTAGAATCTTCCTTGGCACATTAGTCCTGCATATGTACTGTGGAGCAGGCAGTCTGTGCTGTACAGAAACACTGCCTTGTCCTTCCCCATCTGCAGCTAGATCCAGTGGCCTGCCTGGTGTAGGCTGTGTATGTCAGAGGCAAGGATTCACCCTCGGATCTCCTCTGACTACTCTATTCATCAGGCTTTGCGGGAGAGCATTCAGTTCACCATAGGAACCTGGGAAAGGGAGGTGTAGGGGGGGTTAGTAAAGTGCATAAACAAGCAGGAAGCGTTGCCTCTACTCGGGCTGTCTTCAAGATGAGCCTTTAGCTCAGGGTGGAGCGGGGAGCTCCTTGGAGAGTGAGGATTGCCTGCGGACCTCCAGGACAGGGGTCCCCAACCTGGTTCCTGTGGGTGTGGCCATATGGGGCTCTTGGCCAGCATTGGCTCTGTAGATTAAAATAACATTGTTTCCGTGGGAGCCGCTGCCATCGTGTGGGTTTTATTTTCTCCCATCCCTCCTTCCCAGTGTATTTTTGAACATTAGATCTCTTCTCCCCTGGACTTGAAAGTATTCCCCTGTTCTCCCACTGGTTGTGTGGCTGTGCCTTTCAGGGCAGCCATTTTTGTAGCTGCACCCACCACCCAGTGTGAGAATCCTAAAGGTGCCCACGGGCTTTAAAAGGTTGGGGGGGGGTGCTCTAGGGAGATTCTGGAAATGAGCAGAGGTAACCTAAAATGTTCCTAAAAGTGCTTTAGGAATCTAGAAATGCGTATCACAAAATAGAAAGGGATGAGGGTGAGACAGTGGAACAGTGTTGAGGGTTTGGGGTTGCCTTGCTTATTTGTTTATTTTTCCAGTTTATGCCCCGCCCTCCCCGCCAAGGCGGACTCAGGGTGGCTTACATAACAGTAAATACATAACAATTAAATTACCATTAAAAAACATCTAAAAACAGGTCCTTATAAAACAATGCCATATCATAAAGTGCGATAGCAGTGTTTTAATTTCATAGTGATGGCGTTACCATATGAGTGCATTAAACTGGAGGGATCAGGATTCAGAACCTCCTCTGTGTCCCAAAGCTCATTTGGGTGACTTTTCAGTCCATCGCCCTGTTTCAGGCTCTCTCACAGAGTGGTTTTTCAGAATAAAATAGGAGAGCCGCAAAAACGGACTGAGAGCGTCCTTGAGTTAGAGATTGAAAATCGGGAAATGTTCCGAGGGCTACATCTAGCTTTGCCATCGGAATTCTTTTTAATCACTCTTAAGTTCTAAGGCCAAGCGTTTGATGCGTGTGGTGTTTCTAGTAGGCCCACAACGGTTAGCTTATGTGCCAGAAAGGCAGCATGGGAACTTGGCTTTGTTGTTGGGCTGGCCGGAGGCATCACGCCGAGCCGCACTATCACCCCACCCCACTCCTTCCTCTGACATTTTTTCCCCCAGTGGTGCAAGAAGCCATCGAGTTCTTTGTCATAGTCTCCCAGTTCGGCATCCCTCAAGCCGTCGTCGGAGTCCGCCGAATGCTCCCCCTCATCTGGTCGAAGGAGCCAGGAATCAGGGAAGCCGTGCTGAACGCCTACCGGAGGCTCTACCTGAATCCTAGCGGGGGCTCAGAAAGGTACTATTGACACACCCGTCCACAATCCCACATTAGCCTGCCTGGTCTTCCCTCTGGAGGCGCAAGGGAGAGGATGTGCTGAGTGCAGTTAGTCCCGAGTATGCTGTTCCTCCTGGGCCGAAGCCCACATTCTGTCTCGAAGCTGTTGGAAGCTAAAATGCAACCTTCTCCGTCGCAGGCCAGTTTGTTTCCATTGCAGAGGAAGTGCTGTGGACCCTAGCAGACACTTCTTCCCCCCTTGCCCCACTCTCGGTGGCATTTTTCCTCTGTGGGTGTCCTCCCAGTCGGCCTTTTTTTTGCAGATCTGCAATCGAGGAAGCAGGTTGTTGGATGATCGGACTCTTTAAATGAAAGACCCGGGTGTAAAAAAAATCCTCTTCCCACTTATCTCCTCCCCAGGGCTCGAGCACACAGCCTGGTGCAGTCCCTGTCTCTCCTCATGGTGGATGCATCACTGGCAACCATCCAGTGCCTGGGAGAAATTGTGAGTGTGTTTGTGTCCCGTCCCCACATAAGTCTGTCATAGGAGAGTTTCTTATCTATCTCGGGAGTGTCGTTTGGAAGAGGTTGCAAATCAGAATATTTGAAAGCGTGCACAGTCCCAGTTGGCTAACTGTATCACTTCCATCTTGCCAAGTTTTCCTGCTAGCTTGTAAAGACTGATGGAGTTTAGCATTCTCGAATCCTTGCAGTTTTGGAGGTGGCTGTTTTTAACCCTCAGATCCAGAGCATAGCTGCTAAAAGCCAGTGGGCACACTCTTCACTTTTGGTGGGACTTAAACCAGCTTATGGCTATATTTCTGGTCAATTCCAGTAAAGAGTTAAATGTTTAGCATCCCCGCCCCAACAATAGAGAGAATTTCAGAAGTAGCCCTGTGTGTCATGAAAATCCTCATGACATGATGTGCACAGTTGAGGCATGCATTACACAGATTGGCAAATTAGAAACAAAACAACAAATGAGCCTTACTTTGCTTGGCTAGCTATCTTTGTAAGATAGATTCAGGTGGGTAGTGGCACCTTTAAGACTAACAGTGTTTTATTCTTGGTCTACCCTTTTGTGTGCAAGCACACTTCTTCAAATACGGTGAAACAAGACATCCTCAACCATTACATATAGATGGGGGGTAGTTGTCAGGAAGGGGGGTAATCAGTGTCAAGATAACTGACCAATCAATACAGCTAAGATCTTGTCTTGGTTGGGGCCATTCAGTTTCGTGGAGCATTTGCCTTCCATCACTGACAAGCCTTCCTTTACTTTGTAGATTTCAGAATTTATCCAGAAAGATGAAATAAAACCTGCTGTGGTCCAGCTGCTGTGGGAGCGGTTTACAGAGAAATCCCAGTGTTCCTCCCTGGAGCGCCATGTGGCTATCATGCTCCTGGGAATGATGGCACGGTGAGTCGTCAGCTTGGGACCCCTTACTACTGGCAGCGAGATGAGGGACTTTCTTTGCTGCTATAGCAGCTGGATCATAAGAACATAAGAGAAGCCGTGTTGGATCAGGCCAATGGCCCATCCTCTCCAACGTTCTGTGCCACACAGTGGCCAAAACCCAGGTGCCATCAGGAGATCCACCAGTAGGGTCAGAACTCCAGAAGCCCTCCCAAGAATACTGAGCATCATACTGCCCCAGACATAATGTTCCATCTATGCCTTGTGGTCATGGGTGGCAAGGCCCTGAAGAGTCTAGACCAGGGGTGTCAAATATGTGGCCCAGGGGCCGGATCAGGCTCTCGGAGGGCTGCAATCCGGCCTGCAAGGCCCTGGCTGTTTCCTGCTTCCTTTTCCAGTTCTGCTGCTGCAATTTCTCAGAGCAAGAGGTGTCAGTTATCAGAGACTGTTAAATAGACAAAATATTGCAAGAGTGCTAGTGTTTAAAGCATGTTTTATTTAAAGTTTTAAAAATCTTCTATTGTGTTTGTGCTCTTTATAAAGTTTATATCTCCACTACCTGGTATTACATTTTATGACACACATGGGCCGGGCCGGCGAGGTCTCATTTATGTCAGATCCAGCCCTTATAACAAATGAGTTCAACACTCCTGGTCTAGACGGCCCCGTTTCACAGGGGAACCTCAAGAGAAATTATTTACGTCTGCGCTTTATTCTTGATGTTACATTGGTCTCTCTCAATTAGGCTGCTGTTTATTACCTAAATTTAGATAATGGGGAGAATGCTTTAAGGGGTGTTATTTTATTAGATATTTATCCTGCTCTTCGCCCAGAATGGTGCTCGGTGCAACTCACATCATGACAATACAGTAACAATAATAAAATGATAGTTTTAATAAAATCCTATTAAATTTGGATTGTAATTTAAACACCCAACTTTTGGCATAAAAACCCACTGTGTTAGTAGAGGCCACCAGAATTACATTATTGAAATGTTCGGTGGAATAACTGTGTCTTGCATGCCCAGTGGAATGCGGACAAGTCCTGCCGTGCACAAGTCTCCTTAGGCAGAACATTCCACCAGGTTGGGGCCATGATGAAAAAGGCCCTCACCCTTGTTGCGCTCAGACAGGCAAATTGAGGGCCAGGCACCGCCAAAAACCCATGCGTGGCTGAACGAAGACACTGTGAGAGGTCATAACAGGGGAGGCGGTCCTTTAGGTATGACGGTTCCAGACCATTTAGGGCTTTAAATGTTAACACCCACACTTTGAATTTGACCCGGAAACCAATTGGAAGCCAGTGCAGTTGCCTCAAAATGAGCTGGATGTGTGCAAGCCACGGTGCGTTGGCCAGCAGCCTGGTAGCACATTCTGAACAGCCAGAAGTTTCCAAAGTGCCTTCAAGGGCAGCGCTGTATAGAGCAAATTGCAGAAATCTAGTCTGGAGGTGACCACCGCATGAATCACTGTGGTGAGGTCAGACCCGGACCAGTAGGGGGACAACTGACAAGGCCTGGCAGAGATGATAAAAAGCCTGTTGCACCACCAAAGACAGCTGCTTGTCCAAGGTAAGCGGGGCATCCAGCCAGACCCCCAAACTCTTCATGGAGCCTACTGGAATAAGTTGGACCCCATCCAGACCAATGTTCCCTCTAAGCTGTCGAGTCTTGTGAGCAGAAATTCTACTTTGTGAGCTACCGGCATTAAAGTTGTGAGCAAGCCATTTGGCCCCTGCATAAATTAGTTTGCTCTGTAGCCATCCCTTCCTGAGCGAAGACGAAAATGTGTGAGCCGGAGGCTAAAAAACTGTGAGCTGGCTCACACTAACTCAGCTTAGAGGGAACACTGATCCAGACTAGTCAGCTGTAACCCCCACCCACAAGACTTCAGTCTTAGTTGGATTCAGCTGCAGCCAGCTCTGCCTCAACCACTGAACCACAGCATCCAAACACTTTGTCAGGGCCGAGAGGGCCATCTCAGGCTGGTTTATCCAGCAGGAGGAGGAGCTGGGTGTCACCTGTGTACCGAAAAATCAAATGCATAATTATAGGATGGAGGAGACTTGTCTTGGCAGTGGTATGTATGAAAAGGATCTAGGGGGTCTTAGTAGGCCATACACTGAACATGAGTCAGCAGTGTGATGCAATAGCTAAAAATGCAAATGCCATTTTGGGCTGTATCAACAGAAGTCTAGTGTCCAGGTCATGCAAAGTGATGGTGCCACTTTACTCTGCTCTGGTTAGACCTCACCTAGGGTACGGTGTTCAGTTTCAGGCACCACAATTTAAGAAGGATGGAACATGTCCAGAGGAGAGCAACAAAGATGGTGAGGGGTCTGGAGACCAAGTCCTTTGAGGAAAGGTTGAAGGAGCTGGGTATGTTTAGCCTGGAGAGGAGACGACTGAGAGGTGACACGATAACCCTCTTCAAGTACTTGGGCTGTCATAGAGAGGATGGTGCAGAGTTGTTTTTAGTTGCCCCAGGAGGTCGGTCCAGATCCAGCGAGTTGAATATCAAATCAGAAGAGTGTTTGGCTAAACATTAGGAAGAACTTATTAACAGAGCAGTTCCTCAGTGGAACAGGCTTCCTCAGGAGGCGGTGGGCTCTCCTTTGGAGGTTTTTAAGCAGAGGTTAGATGGCCGTCTGACAGCAGTGCTGATCCTGTGAACTTAGGTAGATCATGAGAGGGAGGAAGGGTTGCCTCAGTGCTTAGTTCTCGTGGCCCTTTCTTACACGCCCAGGGAAATGCTGGTCGCCACTTTGGGGTCAGGAAGCAATTGTTCTCCAGGCCAGTTTGGCCGGGGATCCTGAAGGTTTTTTGCCATCTTCTGGCCATGGAGCAGGGGTCCCTGGCGGTGTGAGGGGGAGGTATTTGTGAATTTCCTGCATTGTGCAGGGAGTTGGACTAGATGGCCCTGGAGGTCCCTTCCAACTCTTAGGATTCTATCACACCAAACCCTTCTAATGACCTCCGCCAGATGGTGCATATAAGTATTTAATAACATTGGCAATAGGATCGAACCCTGTCTAGTGGGTCCTGAGTTGAAGTCCTGTCCCCAGTGACTAAGCACATCCTTTGAGGAATGAGGCCAGACAGCTGACCAAGATTGAGTGATGAACTGTATCAAACACTGCTAAATCCAGCAGTATCAGCAGTGCTTAGCTGCCCCAATCAAACTGGGGTCAGAGGTCACCCACAAAAACTACCAAGGCTGTCTCGGTACCAAACCAGTCCTGAATCGAAATCAATCTGGATCGAGTGACGATGTCTCATCCAAGAAGTCCTGGAGCTGCTCAGCAACTGCTCTCTCAATCGCCTTTCCCAGGAATGGTACATTTGATACTGGGCCGTCATCGGGAAGCTCCTCTTTGTTTAAGGAAGGCTTTTTAAAGAAGGGTCTAATGATGGCTTCCTTTAAGGAGCTGGGGAAGCTGCATCAAGAGAGAGACAGCTTTATAATCTCCCTCCGGGATCCTCCTCCTACATCCTGGCAAGATTTCACATCCTGGCAAGATTATTGTTATTAATAATAATATTTTACTTCACAGCCCTCTCACTTTAGGCAGATTACAAAATACTTGACATTGGACCCTTGGTGGGGGGAGGCAGGAAGGAGCAGTTATTGTTTGGGCTACCTTTCTAATAATGAGCTGCGGTGGCTCAAGTGATTAAGCCGCTGAACTGCAGGCTGTGGAAGGTCGGTAGTTCAGCAGTTCGAGACCCGAGTGTGCCGCATGACGGAGTGAGCTCCCATCTCTAGTTCCCGCTCCTGCCAACCTAGCAGTTCGAAAGCAAGAAATTGCAAGTAGATAAATAGGTACCACTTCGGTGGGAAGGGAACAGCATTCCGTGCACCTTGGCGTTTAGTCATGCCGGCCACATGACCATGGAAACGTCTTCGGACAGCGCTGGCTCTTCGGCTTGGAAACGGAGATGAGCACCGCAACCCTAGAGTCGGAGTCGACTGGCTTTCGAGCAAGGGAACCTTTACCTTTTTACCTTTCTAATGCTTTCATAGAAATAGGGGATTGGATCCACCAGTGTAACAGTAGCAATGCCAGCACTTCCATTAGCACATGTATGTGGGGGGGGGGGTACCTACTTCTCCCTCTCCATGCAGATCCCCACTTTGGCTCCCATGCTGTTTGTGGAGGAGGAGGCTTGGAGGGAGGGGGGAAACTTGCTTGGCCATCATCCCTGTGCTGGAATGGCTTTGGGGTTCTGCCCATTTAAGTTAAGCTCCTGACGTGTGTTTTAGTCATGATTTAATAATCCTGAGCTGGAAAACAATGGGGAGCTGTTACTGCTGTCGGTGAATTCTGAGTATCGTTGTGCCCCATGTCTCGGGCATGTTGTGCTCCATCTCAGCCAGTGAGCCCCCCAAGGTGCTGTGTTTTGTGCAGGTTGCAGGCAAGCCTCCACCATGTCTCCAAAACGGCTACCGCTAAACACGTGTGGGAGAGCAGCCCTTATGTTGCTTTGCTTCTGGTTTGGCAAGCAGGAATTCAAGCCCTGCAGGTTTGGCCTGTCACCGGAGGGTTTGAGGGACTGCCTTGGGATCTCATGACCTGTTTCTACCATGAAACTGCCTTATAGTGAATCAGCCCCTTGGTCCATCAAAATCAGTCTTGTCTACTCAGACTGGCAGCAGCTCTCCAGGGTCTTGGGCAGGGGTCTTCCACATCACCTACCACCTGGTCCTTTTAAACTGGAGATACCAGGGATTGAACCTGGGACCTCCTGCACGCCAAAGCAGATGCTCTGCCAGCTGAGCCACTGTCCTCCTCTAACCTTTTCCTGCCTTCACTAGGGGGAAGCCTGAGATTGTTGGGAGCAACCTCGACGTCCTGGTAAAGATGGGGCTGGATGAGAGAGTGCCTGAAAACTATCGCCTTGCGCAGGAAGTGTGTAACGCCATCTCCAAGATTGCCAGCACTCAGAAGGTCAGAAGGTGTGATGTTCTGGCCTGACTTCCTTTTGGGCAAGTCAAATGTTTAATGCCGTCAAAGACCCACAAATAGCCACCAAAGCCATTACATCAGGAGTAACCATTTTTAACAAGAACTGCTCTTCAAAATGTGTGTGTTTTTCTTGCAGCACATGACTATAGCCCTGTGAACGCCAATTGTACTACCGTATTTTCCTGCGTATAAGACTACTTTTTAACCCAGGGAAATCGTCTCAGAAGTGGGGGGTCGTCTTATACGCCGGAAAATACGGTAATGCTCACGACTCTGTCTAGACAGTGTGCTTTCTCGGCATGTGACGTGCATTTTTAATGCGGGTCTCTTCTAGTTCTGGAATTCCTTTGGCAATTGCATGGTTTTTAGGCTTTGGAAAAGAGAGTATATATGTGTGTGTGGAATAGTGCAGTTCTCAAAGGGAGATTGAAGTGGTATTTTCTCCATCTTGTCATTTGCACTTTGACTGAAGCAGCCCTCTGAACTGACGTGTCCTTGGGGACTTCCAGCCTGTAGCTCACACTGTTGATTGCTGGTTAGTCAAATGTGTGTAGGCTCTCCGGTACCTTTTAAAAGTGCTTCAGTCCAGTTTCCTAGTACTTAAGCTGTTGCAGCACTAAAGGGATGTGAACAGAGATCGGAGGTCTACTGTCAGTGAGTCTCCTGTTCAAATTCTTGATGATTATCCTTATGCACCCTTGGGGACTGCTTTGTTCCAGCCTCGGCTGTCATAAAGGAGCACTGTAAAGGTGAATTAAGGAAGAACCGCATACTTCTAGTGCACTTACAGTTGTGTAAGATGGGGGCAGCAAAAGACGTTGCCCAGCAAAAATATGCACACTCTCTCTTCTCCCTTCCTTAGCCTGTCCTGGGGAAAAGTGGAGCTCCCTTCCGGCTTCCGAAGTCACACCTCCTCTTTGAGCGCCTGAGCGAGGCTATAAGCGTGGGTGAGTGGCCGAAGTTGCAGGGCCGGGGTGGGCCTGTATACGGTCCCATTAACTCTCCTGATGTAAGGCACGCCCTGCTTCTCTTTCAGGCTTTGCGGGATCCAGCCCACACTGGATCCCTTTCACAGAAACAGCTGTCGCTCTCATCTACCAGCTGGCAGAAGGGCCCGAGGAAATTTGCACTCACATCTTGCAGCGTTGCAGCCAGCAGGCCCTGGAGAAGCTGGGCGAGCCGGAAGGGGCTGAGGCAGGTGAGTTGGGGCAGGAAGGATAAACTGGCATTTCCAGCAGGGCAGGGGGGTGGGGCCATCAGCTCGGGAAAGGGGAGGAGCTCGGGCTGTGGCGGGGCTAGGGCAGAGAAGTCCCTGGGGAAGAATGGGCCAAATGCTTTATAGAAACTGGCTCTTGGTTTTGCTCCTCAGAGTCGGGATCTTCTCCCACCGGAGGTGTAGGGGACTCCACCTCCGTCGATGCTCTGCTGCTGACCCACCTGGTCTCCCTCGCGGGGGACGTGGCCCTGCAGCAGCTCGTGCATCTGGAATTGGCGGTGAGTGCGGAGCTGCGCAGGCGCCGAATCGTTGGGGAAGAGCAGGAGACGAAGCGACGTGCCAGCAGCAGCACAAAGAAGCAGAGGGCCAAGGTGAGGACCGGAATGGTTTTTTTTGTTTGGTTGGGGGGTTCACTGTCTGTTTGCCCTGCGATGCCCAGGTACCATAGCAGGGGAGCCTGTCGGATAGGGGATGTGCCATAACTTTCTCTTCCATTTGTGTGAGTCCATCTCTGATCTTAGCTCAGGAATTCTCAGGGCATTTGTAGTTAAAATTCTGAGCCTCCACTGTTTGAAGACGCCTCTCTTGCCCGGGAGTGATTTCTTATCACCGTCTCATCCACTGCTTCCCCCTTCCCCTGATGCTGCTAAGGGTGGAGGCTTCCATTCCGCTCATGCAGTCATATCAGCTTTGTGGGGCCCATCGCAGAAACCTGGACAGTTCTGCACTATTTCTGGTTTACCCGCTGTTTGTGCCATTCGGTTAGTTCATGTTGCATGGGAGCATTGCCAGTAACAACATTCACTTCCTAGACATCTTGTGCCGCAAGTAGGAGAGCCAGCTTGGTGAAGTGATTAAGAGCGGTGGACTCTAATTTGGAGAACCGGGTTTGATTCCCCACTTCCCCACTTGAAGCCAGCTGGGTGACCTTCGGCAAGTCACAGCACTCTGTGCCTAAAAATAAGCATGGCTCGCCATCTAGTGGTGCAGAAAAGAGCTACAGGTTCAGGCAGCCAATCAATCCTTTGGGATCTCCTGGCTATTCCACACACCATGCCATACGATACTTCAATTTGTGCAGCAAGTAGAAAAGGGAAGTCCGGGGACCTCTCTAGAAATATCCTATTGCACTTGAATTTCATCGAAGTGTTTCCACTTCCCCATTTTGTAGTGGGAACCAGTACAGGGTGGAGGGATCTGGGTTTTGATCCCCAGTCGCCCATGAACCTTACGTTGTGCCCTTAAGCCAGTCCTCCTGTCTGATCTGCTTCACAGGGTTGGTTGCGAGAGTAATATGTAAAAACATGCTACTGTCTTTAGTGCACCATATCTAGTGATGTTTTGCTAGCATTAAGTATCCAAAGACTTGTGTCTTTAAAAAAAAAAAAAGCTACTATCAGTATATATTTTTAAGATGAAACCTTTTGCTTCCCAACTCTATCCCTGGCACGATGAGTTACAAAACCAGAGCCACGTATCCCACCGTGGATTTATGATGTTTGGGCACATGGGTAGGAGAGGTTCATTAGAAAGGACTAAAATGTGGCGCAAAATAAGCAGGGTTTAAATTAATCGGGCGACAATAACAAGAAAGCGGTATTGCTACAATAAAAGCTAGCATAAAATAACAGATCAGCCGTAATTATGCAGTAAAATCAGCACAAGGTAAGAAAGTCGTGCGCAGCAGCACATAACGAAAAGATGAACTCAATAAACATTGCATTAAAATCTGTAACAAACGGAGCCAGTCAAATAAAACTACAGATCAAAAACAGTCTGGCAGGGTCGCATTCATGAATAACAATAGAGTAGATAGGACAGGGGGTCCCCAGCGTGTGGTCCCTGTGGCCACCAGGGCACCCACCAATCTCTCTTCTGGCGCCTGCGAAGTGTTTCTAAGAAGTGGGCGGGGCCCGAGAGGGCTTTTGCCCAGCAAGGCTTCTGGTTGACTACTAGAGAATCTGATTGGTTGTTGAGGATCTTTTAAAATGCTGCTTTGGCAGCAGTTGCCAAGTTAACTCCTCGTGATTTGTTTTTCCAATTTGGTGTGTACGTGGTATATGTTTCTGTTATTGCACAACGTTTTTGACTATTACTTTTGTAACTCTTTTCAGTGTCATAGACACGTTGAATCTGTTAATGTTTTGTTCATTTATACATTACATTTAACATTGGGTGTTGTTATATTTTGCATACCTGGTGTTTATATTCTTCTGCTTTCTGTTGTTTGTACACCATTGTCCCATTGATTTTTGCTCTTTCAAAACTGGGCATCCTCCGAGACAAGAATTTATTTCCTTCATTTACGCCCATCCGTCCCTCCCAATGGGGAGCCAAAAGCGGCTTGCCTTGTCCCCGTCTCCTTTTTATCCTCACAACAACAACCCTGTGAGGCAGGTTAGGCTGAGTGCATGCGGCTGGCCCAGGATCACCCAGCAAGCATCCATGGCAGAGTGGGGATTCGAACCTGGGTCTTATCAGATTCTCGTCCAGCACTCTGATCACTGCCCCGCCCTGGGTCTCCCGAGGTTACCCTCCAGCTTCCTTTTGCACAGAGCACCGGGAACGAGGCAACCATGGAGATGGAGCTCGGCTTGACTGGGGCCTCTGCTGAAGACACCGAAGCGGAGCTCATCCGCAGCATTTGTGAGACCGAGCTGTTGGACGGTGAGTGCGCAGATCTTCTCTGGCCTGTGGCACTCCTAAACTTCCCATGTCGTCGTAATTCTCTGTGGGTCAGGCTGACTGTGGAGTCAGACCTTACTGGGGAGAGCTGGGAAGTTGTTTGGAGCTCCCGGCCATTTATTTAAACTTCAAATATAAAATATAGTTGATGGACACTCCAAACATCTCCCAGTGCTCACCTGGTAAGGGCTCTAGGACTGAGCTACTGGTTCTGGTTCTGATCTCTGCCGTGATCTCTCTAGGTGGCCTTAAACAAGCCCCACGCTCTAACCCTCACTCCTCCATCTGAATCTAGGCCTACCCGTCCATTCCGGTTATCTTCAGGGGCCCTCCTTTAACTGCCCACACCGAATAAAGTTAGTCTGGTGGCCACCCAAAACCGAGCCTTCTTGGTTGTGGCACCGAAGATTTAGATCTACTGTCCTAGGGAACTTTGTCTTTCTTCCTCTATTGTTGTCTTCTGCCAGCAAGTGTAGACTTTCCTGTTTTGTTTGGTGAACCCCCCAGTAACTTGGGGGGGGGGGGTTTGTGTGTGTGTGTGTACCTGGAAGTCATGATTGACTTCTGGCAACCCCTAGTGGAGCTTGACCGTTTCAGAGAGGTGACTTGCCATTTGCCTGCCTTTGCATCCTGCCCCTACTATTTCTTGGAGGTCTCCCGGGTCGGCCCTGCTTAGATTCCAAGATCTGACAAGATTGGGCTTGCCTGGGCTATATCCAGGTCAGGGCAAACACACACACACCCGGTAACTCTTATTGGCCCTCCTCCCTGGTTATGGTGTCCTTGTATGTTTTATAGAATTGTTCAGAGATTTTAAATGCTGTTTTGAAGTCTGCCACCTTGGGGATCCTATTTGACCAGGAAAGACAGCACAGAAATGTTTTTAGTAAATAAATTCTCCATCTTGCGTTGCGCTGCAGCTGTGGTTGGAGGGTGGTATTCTAAATTATTTTTGGTCACAAGTAGAGAGATGTGAAGGCCCAGGAAAAAACCAGAAAAATGCAGGGGGGAAACAGGTTTTTCCCGGGTTTTTCCTGAAGTCTTTTTTTCCCGAAAAATTGCAAACATTGAAAAAAGAAAAGGAAAAAAATTGATTATGGAATATTTTAACATGATGAATAAAATATTTTAAGACAAGATGTTCAAATATTTTCCAAATCATTTCTTATATCTATCTATCTATATATATCTATATAGATATATATATGGTATCAGATTGATCTAATTTCTATGCACTGGGGACAAGCAAGTCCTAGGTTACAACCTGAACTCTCCAATGCAAGAACAAGATGCATTTCTTCCTTTAGGAGGTGCGATTGTCAGAAGAAAATAAAAAGGTTTCAGTTTTGTTTTTGCATGTGGGTGGGTATTTTTGTCCAAAAAAAATTGGGGGGGGGGACTGGGTTTTTTCCCGAGCTTCAAAATTTCCAGAAATTTTACATTTCTAGTCACAAGTGAGCATGTGTTCTTAAAGCTCTTTGGAGCCATGAATGGAAGTGTGCAGTTAACAGCTGCATTTTTAAAAAACATAGCAGGAAGTTGGTGGGTGCTTTGCGCTGCTCCTCCTTTGCGGTTTGTGCAGCTTCCTGCATTGGGCAAATTTTGTATCGGCAGCTGGCCCTCGTGCGGGTGTGTATTAAGTGCCATCGAGACACTTCCGACTTGTGGCAACCCTGTGAATGAATGGCCTCCAAAACATCCTGTCGTCAACAGCCTTGCGCAGGTCTTGCAGATGGAGGGCTTGGGTTTTTTGCGTCAATCCACCTCATGTTGCATCTTCCTCTTTTCCTGCTGCCTTCAGCTTTTCCTGGCATGGTTGTCTTTCCCAGGGACTCTTGTCTTCTCATCATGTGACCACAGTACCGGTAGCCTCAGTTTGCTCACTTCAGCTCCAAGGGAGAGTTCAGGCCCTAATGTAGCTAACCCAAAATGTTCAGAATCACACTCATCTTATAAGTGTGGGTATGTTTCTGCACAAGACGCTCTGCCCTTGGAATATTGCGTGTCTGGCTTTTATTGCTATTTGTTAGGTCTTCCTATTTTTAGGAAAAGGAATAGAAGAAAATTTCTAGCCCTGAAACCTGAAGTGAGGTTTCACTCCTCGGTAAAGGTAGAGATGTGAAGGCCTGGAAAAAAACTGGAAAAATTCGGGGAAAAAACGTTTTTTTTCCCGTTTTTTTCCCTGAAGCTTTTTGTTTTTTTCCGAAAAATTGAAAAAAGAAAAGAAATTGATTATGGAATGTTTTATTTTAACATGATAAATAAAATATTTTAAGACAAGGTGTTCGAATATTTTCCAAATCATTTCTAAAATATATAATGGTATCAGATTGATCTAATTTCTGTGCACTGAGGACAAGCAAGTCCTAGGTTACAAACTGAACTCTCCAATGCAAGAACAAGATGCATTTCTTCCTTTAGGAGGTGCGATTGTCAGAAGAAAATAAAAAGGTTTCAGTTTTGTTTTTGCATGTGGGTGGGTATTCTGTTTGTAATAATTGTTTGGGTACACTATATTTTTAATATGCTAGTTGTGATAATTTCATGCCAAGTAAAAATGTCCATAGTCATTTTTTTTGTTCCTAAAGTAACAGAATGACTTTCAATCTAGAAAAGACAAAAGAAATGCTAATGTAGCATTTTTTTCAATTTTTCCGAAAATTTCCGTTTTTTTCCGGAAAAAAACGGGTTTTTTTCCGAGCTTCAAAATTTCCAGAAATTTTACATCTCTAGGTAAAGGTAAAGGTTCCCTTGCTCGAAAGCCAGTCGAGTCCGACTCCAGGGTTGCGGTGCTCATCTCCGTTTCCAAGCCGAAGAGCCAGCGCTGTCCGAAGACGTTTCCGTGGTCATGTGGCCGGCATGACTAAACACCAAGGCGCACGGAACGCTGTTCGCTTCCCACCGAAGTGGTACCTATTTATCTACTTGCAATTTCTTGCTTTCAAACTGCTAGGTTGGCAGGAGCGGGAACTAGAGACGGGAGCTCACTCCGTCATGCGGCACACTCGGGTCTCGAACTGCTGGACTATTGACCTTCTGGGTTACAGAAATGTTCTAGCTGGCTTTTTTTCCTCCTTATCCCGCCTTTTCTCTAAGGGGTTCCAGGTAGCATACGCAGTCCTTATTTTTACTCCCCTAACAGGCCCTGCAAGGCCAATGAGGTTGAGAGTGTGTGAGAGTGGCCCAATAGCAGTGTGGGAATTTGAACCTGACTCCCACGCCCTCCAATCCTAGTCCAACACTCAGAGCGAATAGCATTTGTAGCCCCATACGTCACTCAAGCAAAACCCGGTTTTAAGGCGGCGCTTGGACAGATCTCTTCCCTCTTTGATCCTGCAGGTAAGCAGCTGCTCTCCGCCTTTGTTCCCCTGGTGCTCAAGATATGCAACAACCCGGGCCACTACAGTGACCCAGCCCTTTCAGCCGCTGCCGCATTGGCCCTCGGGAAGTTCTGCATGATCAGGTATCACTCTCTGGCCTCTGAATGCATTGCGTGAGCTCCCTGCCAGGCGTGCTCCCCCCGGGACTGGTCTTCACGGAGGCGAGGGGACATGGGAGAGGTTTATGAAATTATGCACGGGGTGGAGAGAGGTGGCAAAGAGGAATTTTTCCTTCCTCTCCCAGAATACTAGCACGTGAGGACATCTGATGAAACTGATGGGCAGTAGGTTCAGGGAAGACAAAAGGAAATAGTTCTTTATACAGAGAGTGATTAAAATGTGGCGTTCACTGCCAGAGGATGTAGTAATGGCCACAGGAATAAATAGCTTTACAAGGGGATTAGATGGATTCATGGAGGATAAGTCTATTAATTATTATTAGCCAGGGCAACTGTGGGGAACCTCCATGTTCAGAGGCACTAATTCTCTGAATCCCAGAGCCAGGAGGGAAACATCAGGGGAAGGTTGGTCACTGTGTGAGGCAGGATGCTGGACTAGATGGACCATTGCTCTGATCCAGCAGGGCTCTTCTTATGTTCTTATGAAGGCCTCGGCCTCTGTGCCCTGTTGTTGGCTCTCCAGAGGAACTGTGTGAGACAGGATGCTGGACTGGATGGACCATTGCTCTGATCCAGCGGGGCTCTCCTGATGTTCTTAAAGCTGTAAGTTCGCCTTGCCTTGCCTTCCATTCCCATGCAGTGCAGAATTCTGTGATGCTCATTTGCGGCTCTTCTTCACGATGATGGAGAAATCCACCCTCTCTAGCGTGCGAACCAACCTCATGATCGCCGCCGGAGACTTGGCCATTCGTTTCCCAAACCAGGTGGAGCCTTGGACACCCCACCTTTACGCCAGGTAACACTGAGATGAGGGAGGTGGTCCCTGAATCTTTCTTTCCCCTCCCTTTCCCCTAGGTGTCGAGGGCTTATAGATCTTTGCTCCTCCATTTTATCCTCACAGCAACCCTGTAAGGCAGGCTGGGCTGAGAGTGCGTGACTGTTCCAAGGTCACCCAGGCCACCACGGCAAGGGGTGGGGGTGGGATCTGAAGCCGGGTCTCTCAACCACTCCCCCACCCTGCCTCGGGCTTGCAGTGCCACTGGCGCTGAGATCGGGACGCCTGCCCAGTGCGGGATGCAGGTGGTCCGACCCGGCTGCTTGCCGCCTCCCCCTCTCTCCCTCTGCCCCTCAGGCTGCGGGACCCCTGCCCCCCCGTGAGGCGGACGGCTGCGCTGGTGATGACTCACCTGATCCTGAAGGACATGGTGAAGGTGAAGGGGCAGGTGAGCGAAATGGCCGCTCTCCTCATCGATCCTGAAGAGGAGATCGTGGCGCTGGCCCGCAACTTCTTCACGGAGCTCTCCAGCAAGGTGAGGCGGGAGGGTGTGCGGGGCGGGTTGGGTTACACCATGCCAGACTCTCAGGGGATTCCGAATTGCTTTGCTTCACTGCTGCTCTCCTCCTGGAGCCCAGGGGTCCCAGTGCGGTGCCCCCGGGCGCCGTGGCACCCGCCAACGCCTTTCTTGGCATCCACCGAGTGTTTCCAGGCAGTGGGCAGGGTCAGGTCGGGCGCTTGCCCAGCAGGTCTTTTTGATCTACCATGAAAGTTCAGTTTGGCTTTGCAGATTAAAATAACATTGTTTCAGCGGCAGCTGGCACTGTAGTTTGCTTTATTTCTCACCTCTCCCAGGGTATATTCTATTTTTGTAGCAGGAACTCCCTTGCATATTAGGCGACGCACCCCTTATGTAGCCAATTCTCCAAGCGCTTACAGAACTCTTCTCACAGGGGCTACTGTAAGCTCTTAGGGGGGGTGTCGCCTAATATGCAAGGGAGTTCCTGCTACAAAAAGAGCCCTATGACCCCGCTTCTCCCCTGTACTGGGACTTCCTCTGTGTGTGTGTCTGTGTTTGGCTCCGCCTCCCGTGGCAGTCATTTTGAGGTGGTGCCCAGTGTGTAGTGATTCCACAAGCACGCGGTGCCAGAAGGATTAAAAGTTCTATTGGGACGAAAGCGGGGCCTTTCCTGGCCTTTGCTTGAATAAAAACAAACTGCCAACAGCCAGAACAGGAAGTGAAATCAAACTACAGCACAGGCTTTTCGGCCCTGAGGGATCAGGGGAAAAGAACTAAACAGTTCAATAAGGGCCTGTCACCAAATTCGCAACTTGCCACTGTATAACACCTGCCACCCTGTGTCAGAATTCCAGGTGTCCCCACAGGCTGAAGAACATTGGGGACCCATGTCCTAGAGTTCTGTCAAACAGGTCACCAGAGCCCAGTTGCCATTTAAAAACCCAGGTTTCCTGTTCCCAAATAGCGGAGGCCCAGCTCAGAACAGAAAGCCAGGTCCGCTCTCTGCCCCGAGGCCAGGCTTACATCATTTTGGTGTCGGCCACACCCATCCCAGTCAGCTCAGTTGCCAAAGGAATCCCTTCTCGAAAGACAGTCTGGAACTGGCCTCGGCTTGAGGAAGCTGCCTGGTCTAGGGCTGTTGGTATCGACACTCTAACGCGCTGTTGGCCAATGCTGGCGTTTCCCATGTCTCACCGGGTCAATTCCTACTTGTGTGGGTGGCTAGTGAGGGCAGGCAGGCAGGCATCCTCCCTGCTGAGAAGGTGGAAAGGACTTCAGCATAATCGGTGTTTGCCCTCAGCGGCCTTATTTAATTTCGGACAAGGAGGAAATGCTCAGGGACGTTCAGCCCAGATGTCTCCCCGAAATGGTAAACCTCAAACTCTTGATGAAACTTGCCCTTCAGTTAGCAGGCGGAGGCCCACACTTCCAGATGTTCTGCCATGAGGAGACAAAAGATTCCTAGTTATAAAATTCACGAAGGAGGGTAGATTTTTGAAGCCCTCCTGAACATCTGGACCGGTTTCTTTGTGCCTCCACTGGACCATAGATATGGTTTACCAGTTCAGATTCTCTGGTCCTCCCTGAGAATAGGAGCAGATGTTCATGTACCCCACTTGGTTTTATCCCTTCTACTGAAGGGAGGCTCCATCTTCACCCATTTTCGTCCTAGGGTTACATTTATGACTCCCAACAAAAGGCCAAGGTAGCCAGGTTTTTAAGCCCCCGGCACAGCTCTTCACAGCACATTTTCTCTGTTCAGCAAGTATAGTTGGCAATAGTCAGCACAGTGAGTGATCTGAGACTGGCTGCTGTATACTGCTGTATACTTAGCAGAGTAAAATAACAACACAGCACACAGGTGTAATTAGTTTGAAGAAAAGTTGACTAAAAATTAGGGAAGGGTTACATGGGTTAAAAATAATAACATCCTAACTTCCCCAGGAGTACCAGTCTAGCCAAAGGACTCCCCAAGCACTGTTCTTTTCCCCCACAGGGTAATGCCGTATACAACTTGCTTCCGGACATCATCAGCCGTCTCTCGGATCCCGACTCGGGCATCGATGAGCAGCCATTCCGCACCATCATGAGGTAGCCGTGGTTTTCTTAGGGTCGTGCTCTGCGGGGGGGTCGAGCTTCCTGCATACCCAGCTGGGGGGAAAGGAGAGGGTTTTGTTGTTGTTTTTCAACCAGGCTGGAATTGTGAACGCCATCTGTCTTGAAACACTTAGGAAATTAAAGCGAAAGATTTCACATTGTTGAGAGTTGATGCGAGGTCCACTGGCTGTGATGAATGGCAAGACAAGCACTGCCGGCCACTCTCCTGAATTGCTCAGGCTTGTGCCGGGGCTGAAAGCGGAATGAGTCTGCCCTCCAGTGTTTCCTCTAAGCTGACTTAGTGTGAGCTGGCTCACAGTTTTTTAACCTCCGGCTCCCACATTTTTGTCTCGGCTCAGGAAGGATGGCTCCAGACAGAGCAAACTAACTTATGCAGTAGTGAAATTGCTCACTCACAGCTCGCTCACAGAGCCAGTTTGGTGTGGTGGTTAAGTGCGCGGACTCTAATCTGGGAGAACCGGGTTTGATTCCCCACTCCTCCGCTTGCACCTGGCTGGATGACCTTGGGCAAGCCGTAGTTCTGATAAGAGCTGTCCTTGAAAAAGAGCAGTTTCTGTCAAGAGCTCTCTCAGCCCCACCTGAGGGGGAAGGGAAAGGAGTTTGTAAAACCGCCCTGAGACACCTTTGAGTTGTGAAGGGCGAGGTATAAATCCAATCTCTTCTTCTTCTATTGCCAGTAAGCTCGCAAAGTAGAATTTTTGTTCACAAGACCCCACAGCTTAGAGGGAGCATTGTTGCCCTCCGCTCCCCCGCCAGGTCCTCTGCACGACCAAGGTGCAGGGTGGTTCTTGCTTTATCTCACAGGATGCAAGGAGCAGGCCAACGGCTGTGGCAATGCCTGCCTAGTAAAGCCCTGCCAGAATTTATGTGCTCGCAAATCAATAAAGTGAAGAATAACATGAATGCATCCATTGAGGGTCTCCCCAGCATGGTGCCCGTGCGCACCATGGCGCCTGCCAACCCCTTTCCCGGTCCCCGCCAAGTGTTTTTAGAAAGTGGGTGGGGCCAGGTAGGGCTTTTGCCCAACAAGGCTCCTGATTGGCTGTGCAGCATTTGAGTTACTTCGGCGGCAGCTACCATAATAGTACAGGGATCATCATCACCGTGTGACTGGAGGTGAGCTGCAGCAGCCATTTCCTGGCAGCCATTTTGTGGCCACGCCTACAATAGACAGCCAGAATTCCAGAGGTGCCCACAGGCTCGAAAGGGTTGGGGACTCCTTGTATAGGTCCTTATGGGGGGGGGGAAATCAGATTCTCAAGATTAGCGCTAGTGAGATAGTGTCAGAGTATCCCAGCTTCAGCAACAAAGTTCTTGCGCAATTGACTGCAGGGTTATCAATATAATGGATCCCCTTCTTTGGTCCCCACAAGTTAACTTGTAATTTCTGTTGATACAGTAGCCAAAGCTGTAGGGATACTGGAAAAATGGAGGCAACTCACTCCGGAGTCTCCCTCTCTCTCTCTCTCTCTGTTCCTCCCCTCGCAGGCAGCTCTTCTCCTATATCACGAAAGACAAGCAGACGGAGAGCTTGGTGGAAAAGCTTTGCCAGCGGTTCCGGACCGCCCGGTGAGTTGCGCAGTGAGGAATGGTTGGAGGGAACGAGGCGCGTGTGGACCCTTCCGGTCCTCCGGGATCTGAAAGAAGAAGCTGTGACCTCAGGATGAGGAACGTGGGAGTAGAGAGGCCGCCTGGGACCGGTGTGCCTGCTTGGCAGGGGCGGGTGGAAAGGGCGTGCCCTGGTCGGTGGGAATAAGACAGTGAGTCACAGACACCAGAAGCGAGTTCTGCTGCTGTCTCTGGTAGGCGTAGTATATGCACATGGACCATGGTCTGAGGAAGGACGAAAGACAAAACAGCGGAACCGTGCAAAATGATCTGTATGCCATTATTATTAGAAGAACAGAATGTTTGTGGGAAACTATTCTATTTTTCCAATACCTGCATTTTGCACCGTTCTGCTCTATTTTGTCTCCGGTAGGCGGGCAAAGCAACAGCTGAGAGCATCTTTGCAGCTTCTGATGCTATGGACAACACAGGATGGGGGCCCCATTAGCTGGTCAGTGGATCAGTAATGGCTTAGAGCCTCCGGCCGCTTCCACTGGCGGGGGACATAAGTGATAAGTGGCATGCATTCCCTTCCCCTGGAGAGCAAAAACCTGCTAGCTATTCTCTGAGGTTGCTACAAAACGCCCTTGGAATTACTGAAGGATAATTTTCTCTCCCCTCCTCCCCAGTAGATTCTTCTTTTGTAAGAGAACAAGCTGTCATTGCAAGCAACCTCAGATTTTGGGGATAGAGAGGGTGAAAATTGTCTTCATGCTGGAGAAGCTAAAGTTCCATGCCACAGAGCAAGCAGTTTGCAGAGGGATACCTAAGGGTGCCGCATGATGGAGTGAGCTCCCATCTAGTTCCAGCTCCTGCCAACCTAGCAGTTCGAAAGCAAGAAATTGCAAGTAGATAAATAGGTACCACTTCAGTGGGAAGATAACAGCGTTCCATGCGCCTTGGTGTTTAGTCATGCCGGCCACATGACCATGGAAACGTCTTTGGACAGCGCTGGCTCTTCGGCTTTGAAACGGAGATGAGCACCGCAACCCTAGAGTCGGATTCGACTGGCTTTCGAGCAAGGGAACCTTTACCTTTACCTTTTTACCTAAGTAGTGCGCTGTCCTAGAAGGTTTACGGGGGGAGAGCGAAGGGAAGTCCATCTTCTCTTCCTCCTCCTGGAGTTGTTGGGACAGAGCAGTCTTTTAGGCTGCAGAAGATTCGGGCCCTGCTGGTGGGCCTCCTGATGGCACCTGGGTTTTGGCCGCTGTGTGACACAAGAGTGTTGGACTGGATGGGCCATTGGCCTGATCCAACATGGCTTCCCTTATGTTCTTATGGCGCTGGGTAACTTTAGGCTGAGCATCGTCCAAACCAGGCACTTGGAACAGTTCGCCCAATTTGAAGGTGAGCCCGGAAGCCGAGGCATTGGTTGCTGGCTGGCCAACGAGCTGAAATATCGCATAATACTTTTTGCTGTCAAAATAAATCAACCATCCAGGCTTGGCATCCAATACTTACCATACATCTTTACCACTTTCTCTTGGACACAGTTTCCCCTTTGTTTGCCTCTCTGCACTTCTTTTGAAAGAGACCTCCCCCCAACCTCTAGGAATGGCCCCTGTTCAGCCAAATACAGCTACTGATGCACTTCTGTTGACCTGTCTGGGGCTGCTACGCAAAGGCAGGCAATGGCAAACCCACCTCTGTTACTCTCTTGCCTCAAAAACCCCACGGGGGTCACCATACGTTAGCTGTGACTTGTTAGCACGGAAGGGAAAGGAGTTTGTAAGCCGCTCTGAGACTCCTTCGGGGAGTGAAGGGCAGGGTATAAATCCAATCTCTTCTTCTTTGGAAGAAATTGTCATAGATGCAATTCTTATAAAGCCTAAACTTATTTTACCGCTTTAACAACATGAAATGTGTTTTACAACTTAGCATGTTGAAAACATTGGGCTGTTCGGTGGCTCGCAGTACACATAACGTAACAACTGCGGACAACACTAGCCACCATGAAATACAACATGCTTGAAAGCAGTGTTGCAGACAGCGTACACAGGAGTGATCGTTCTGTAATGTTGCCTTCCATAAATGCTGCCATCATACTGAACAGTCTGAACAAGTAAAGCTTCGGTCGTTCCATATTCTTGTGGTGGTGGTGGAAAGTGCTGTCCATTTGCAACCCATTTATGGTCATCACCGTCTTAGGGTTTTCAAGGCAAGACGTTCTGAGGTGCCGTTGCATTCCTCTGTACAGTAACCCCGGGCTTCTTGGTGGTCTCCCGTCCAAGTACTAACCAGGGCCGACCCTGCTTAGCTTCAGAGATCTGACGAGATCGGGCTAGCCTGGGCCATCGAGGTCAGGGCCTTTTGTGGGACTGCTGCCCAAAATTCCCAGTGCTTCTATTTGGAAAGTGTGTGTGTGTGTGTGTCCCAAATCATCCGCAGGCCTTCTCTGAGTCCCTCTCCACTTCTGGCTCCTTCGAGGCCTTCCTCCTCACCCAGTGTCTAGGCTGTACCATTTTAAACAGGGGGAGGGGGGTCTTGCATGGTAGACTACTCCATTTTTTTTTAACGTACCTCAGTGCAGAAAACAGTGTTGAGTAGACAGCCGAGGCTAGGACCTTCTACCTTTTTGTCAAGAAGTCAGGCTGCCCGAAGAATTCTTTTGTGCGATGCTCTCGATGCAGTAGAAGGTGGAGGCGGCCTACGTGTAGGTTTACCGCTTCGGTGACAACTAGTTATTAGCATCTCTTCTGTGATGTAACATTCCACCCATTATTCATTTTGACAACTGTCCTGCAATTATCCCTGGAGCTGAAGTCCGCGCTTCTTCCTGTTTGTGACCTCGTATGACCTGTCTTCACCACCACCCCTTTCTTTGGCTGGAGGGGGGGGGAGATACCCATTTACTGGGGCATGTGAAAGTTGCCTAGCTGTAACTGCTACACTTCAGTTGTTTGGGGGGGGGGAGTTAATTGAGCCCAGGGTCCTGTTCGCGCATGCCCATGAGTCCTGGGGCAACCTGGTATTGGCTGCCGTGTTTCATTCCGCATCGAAGTGGCCTGCCCACTGTCAGCTACTGGCCTACACGTCAAACTGGACCAGCAGCCACGAAGACAGGATTTCCAGGAGTCCAGAATCAGTGCTGCTGGCTGGGGACAGATTGGCTATTAAGCCACAGGGAAAACTCCTGGTGGGCTGATGGTCTGAGCTGCTCTGGCCCCAAGGCGCACTCCACTGCTTTCACAAGCCAGCAGCCCTTACCCGGCAAGGGCCAGGAGCAGGCTGTCTCTCTCCCTCCCTCCTTCCTTTGGGGGATTGGGGGCTATGGCATACTGGGAACAGGCCCCTTTCTAGTGGTGATCCCTGGCCTCAAAGGTATCTGTCTGTCCCAGGCCAGGGCCTTCTCGGTCCTGGCCCCGTCCTGGTGGAACTCTGCCGAATGACACCAGGGCCCCGCGGGATCTGATGCAGTTCCACAGGGGCTGTAAGGCAGAGGTGTTCCGCCAGGCTTTTGGTTGAGGGTAGCGATCCTTTCCATTCTGGCTGGCCCCCTCTCCAGACTGCCCCATTCCTCTTCCCCCCACCCATGAGATGGCCGCAGTCTGGAATGAGAAGGAATTGTGGAACTTCGCCCTCTGATTCTTTAAGATTTGCTGTGTTAGGCCCTGACCTGGATAGCCCAGGCAAGCCCGATCGTGTCAGATCTCGGAAGCTAAGCGGGATCGACTCTGGCAAGAACTTGGATGGGAGACTTCCTTGGAATACCAGCAGTCGGAAGGACAGAGGGCAGGCTTTATTCAGCCACCTCTCTGAATATCCTCCAGGCCACCAGGAGGGGTCACTCAGCAGAGGGCGCCATGACTTCCAGGTGCACCCACACACACACACATGCCCAGATGAAGATTTGCTGTATAGTACTGTTTATGCATTTTTTTTCCTATGGTTTTGATGTTTTTATCAAATGTTCTATATCACCCAGTACCCTGCAGTAGCAGGGATTGGGCAATCCACAAATTTAATAATAATAATGCCATTTTCCCCCTCGGCCCACCCTTGCCCACACAGCTCAGATTACACCTCACTTTGCTCATCCTTGCTTTTTGAAGCAGCTTTGGCACCTCTCTTTTTCCTATACTCCTGGGCTTGGTGGTCCTATACGTGCCCCACGGCGCTCCTTTTAGGAACTGGGGGTCTTGCACGTGTTAACAGCATGCCCTTATCCGTTCAGAAGAAATATCAGTGCCTGGTCTCTAAGCTTGGGAGGCCTTTCCTGCTGCTTAAGGTGGTCTGTTGTCCCCCTCCCCCCTTCCTCGCAGAACAGAGCGTCAGCACCACGACCTGGCTTTCTGCCTGACCTTGCTCCCGCTCACAGACCGAGGCCTCCGTAAGATGCAAGACAACTTCGAGTGCTTTGGGGACAAGCTGCAGGACGTGGCCGTCTACAGCTGCTTTCAGGCAGTGCTGGGCCGCCTCCGACGGCTGTGCGCGAAACCCGAGATGAAGGTGAGTGCCCCCGTGTTCCATAGCAGATGCTCTTTTTCCCTGGGGATGAAGACACATTGAGGGGGGGGGGCGCTTTGCGACTTGGAGCCCAAACTTGCAAATGCTTTCCATTAACTATGTAATCTGTATCTGCTTGTCATTCGTCAGACTCTTGTTGAAGAATTTGAGCAGAAGCTGCAGAAGTGCCACAACAGGGGCCTGGACTCTCTGGCCGGAACTCCCCAGGGGTCCAAATGCCCAGAAAGCAGCGGGAGGCCTGTGGCCCAGACGGCCAAAAGAACAGCAGCGAGTACGTCCGTGCGCTTTCAGACTCTGTGCTAAACTCTTTGCTTGTTTGTAGCAGGGGAATTATGGATTTCTTAAAGCATTTCTATCCCACGTGGCTCAAGGCAGCTTGACTAATAGCTGGAATGTTTTCCGTTAAAGCAAAAAATAAAATGGCGATCCCCAAATCTTTCTCCCCTCTTCCCCCACCATAAGAGATGTCTGCCACTTTAAGCCCCCTCAAAAGCCCTGGCAGCATCTTCTGAAGATCTCCAAGGAGAGGAGGCCCTCTCACCTCTTCAGGAAGCCCATTTCCCAGAGCCAGGAGGGAAGGAGGACCAGGTTTCTGGTTGATGCCAGACGGGCTACCCTAAATGGTGGGATAGCCCACCTGACAACCGTTGATGGCACACAGGGACACATGGCAGGAGATGGTGCTCGTGTGTGTGTGTGTCCATTGAAAGTGAATGTTAACTTTGCAGTGGTTGGCGAGGGATGCTCTTCCAGGTTTTGGATTGCTCCCTAACTGGTTAGAAGTTTTATCCCAGCCGATTCTGTGAAGCAATAGATGATGAGATGAGGACAAGCACAGGTCCTGGGGGTATTATGCAGAGTGAATTGGTCTCGTCCCAGTTGCTGGAAGCAGGACCCGACATACCTGCCCCCTGATCTGTGGGAGGGAGGAATGTTGTTGCCTACTTTTCCTTAGAAGCCATTCGAACTCTTAAAAACGAAAGCTGGGAAATCTCAAGACCCTGAAACTTTCAGTGGTGTTGCAGTAGAGCCAGTGGTGCAGATTCCTGTGTCCCTTAGTGGTGTTCCCTGAAAGCCATTCCTTCCATCTTGCCTGCTCACTGCACTGGGCAACCTGTAGGCTGGCCTAGGAAACGGCTTATGGATTTTGCAGAAGCTGTTGAGAATGTTCTCGCTTGAGAGCTGAAAAGCACTGACGAATGCATTCACTCGTAATAAATTAGTAAGAGCCAGTGTAGTGTGGTGGTCAGATTGAACCCAGGTTCAAGTCCCCGCTCCACCATAGAAACTTGCTGGGTGGCCTCACAGAATGGTTGTGATGATAAAACAGAAAGTCATAGGCGGCTTTGGGTGCCCACTAGGGAGGAAAGTGAGGCATAGGTATCCAGATGAGTGTCTGAGTTGGCATGTGCCATTCCCCTTCCCTTCCAGGCTCCCGTCGCCAGCAGCCACTGCGGGCTGCCAACCGAGAGACGGACTCGCCCTTCGTCACCCCCAAGCCCCGCGTCTCCAGAGCCCGCAGGAAGATTTCCAGGCAGAAGGCTTCCGTCGTCTTCTCCAGTGATGAGGAAAACAGCCTGGAAGAAGGTGAGGATCCTGCATGCTTGTGGAAGAGCTCGTTCTTAGGAACGCGCAGGGCGGTTTTAGCCTGCCGGGGGTGGCTCTTTGTCCTCCACAGAGGTGGGATGAACAGCCCCTCTGCTGTGTCTAGTGCTGCCTCCCCACAGCGCCCCCCGCCCCCTGACATGGTTTTCTTTTCCAGCCGAACTAACGGAGGAGGAAACGCCCAGCAAAACAACTCCCATTTCCCGTGCGTCAGCCCGCTGTGCCCGGTGATGGCATCCCCCTCCTCTCTTTTTTAACACTTTAAATTCTTTTGTACTAATGAATAAAGATCTATGAGTTTCTAAAGTCTCGGCTCCAAACGTGTACGTTAAAGTAGCCTGGAGGGAGTCGGCTTGGCCGGTCCTCCGGTCCACTGTGGGGGTCGCTCAACCCATCCAGAGGTGGGCTTCAGGCAGGGATTGTGCCGCGTGTATCGCTCCGGCACGTGAGGAGCAAGAAGGGCCAGCAGGAGGAGGATGTCTATGGGTCGATCCTGACTGAGTCTTTTAAACGGGTTGACCCACCAGTGGTTGTGGGACAAAATGGATCAGGGAGGGGAATGCTGCTGCTCAGCAAAGACGTGCTGCACACCTGCCAGTGCACCGTACTACGCTCTTGGCGGCGTGTGTGAAATAATCACACGGAAGCATTTCTCGACTTTGCCGGCCCTCTTCTGTTTCAGTGGACCTGGAAGCGGAGTACGGCAGGATTGGGTGGGGAGGTGCTCTCCCATTCTATCCTGGATCTCTGGCGCTTTCTTAGGTACTGTCTCCGGGCACAGGTTCCGTGCCTCCTGGCTTCAGTGCTTACTCTTGCTGTGTTGTCCCTAATCTTACTGAATTTTTAATCTCATCTCCTTGTAACAGCCCCCCCCCCCCCCCCCCCCCCTTCACAAGCTATTCAAACTCTCTTTGGGAGCCACTTTGGTGTAGTGGTTCAGTGCGCGGACTCTAATCTGGGAGATCCGGGTTTGATTCTCTACTCCTCCACTTGCACCTGGCTGGATGGCCTTGGGCAAACCGTAGTTCTGATAAAGAGCTGTTCTTGAAAAAGAGCAGTTTCTGTCAAGAGCTCTCTCTCAGCCCCACCTACCTCACAGGCATAGTTCCCTCTAAGCTGAGTTAGTGTGAGCCAGCTCACCATTTTTTAGCCTCCGGCTCACACATTTTTGCCTTAGCTCAGGAAGGATGGCTCCAAAGCAAACTGATTTATGCAGCAGCCAAATGGCTCGCTCACAACTTTAATGCCAGTAGCTCACAAAGTAGAATTTTTGCTCACAAGACTCCACAGCTTAGAGGGAACATTGCTCACAGGGTGTCTGTTGTGGGGAGGGGAAGGGAAAGGAGATTGTAAGCCGCTCTGAGACACCTTTGGATAGTGAAGGGCGGGGTATAAATCCAATCTTTTCTTCTTATTATTATTCTTTTTTTGCCATAAGGGCTGTTTGTTTATCAATGCAGCTGCCAGCTGAAACCAGACAAACCACACCAGTATCCATCACTCCGATAACTTGATGCAGTGCTTATCTGGATGGTTTATTTGTGACTTCTGCAGAATCAAGGCTGCTTGAGATGGCTCACAACAACATCGAAGACATCAATCATAATAACAAAAAATAACCAGCAGCAATACAAAAAGGAATTACAATCATAAATCAGTTTTGATCGGGGCTAATAAAATTAAAGTGGCCAGCTTGGCTATCAAGCACCTCAAAGGGTAACCTAAAGGAGTAACCAAAGCCTACATGATCCAGTCCCAACCTGACCTCCAGGGAAGAGCATTCCATAGTGAAGATGGCACCACCACCAAAAAAGCCCTGCCTTCAGTCGTTGACCCACCTCCCTTCTGGAGGGGGGGAGCACAATGAGCAGGGTTTGAGCTGAAACTCTCAGCTGGCAGGCAGAATCACCCGATATCCTTTGTCCTCGGCCGTTTCAGACGTCATAGACAAGATCCCACACTTTCACTTCCCCCCCCAAAAAAACAAATCCAATAGGCAGTCCAGTGTAGATCAAATAGAGGGATGGTATTCCTGTATTCAGTCTCAGATAGCAACCTTTTTGTATTAATCGAAGCTTCGGTATAGTCTTCAACGGGTCATTCGTAGAAAAAGAGGTGCAAGAGCTCATTAGCATAACTTATTTGCATAGGCCACACCCCCTGACATCACCGGAAGTGTGTCAGAAGGCAACACCCACCGCTCAGGCTCCACTGGACTGTTTTGGATTGCTAGCTATTGGGGGGGGGGAATGTGCAGATCTGCCCTCACAAAGGAGGGAGAGCTTGTACCTGAATAAAACCTGGTCTTAAAGGCGCCATT